ATGTTATCATGATGTCTGAACCTAGAACTGAGGCTTATCCTAGGTTTATTTGTGTTGCTGCCTGCCCCAAACAGTGGTCAGCAGGATCAGTTCAAAAGCAAAACTGCTCAGAGGGGTAGGGAAGGAAGCAATCCAGAATTAGGGATAATAATATGGAGTTTATTAGCCTGTCCTTAAAACAATTTTTGACTAAAGCAACAAACCATAGCTAATATGAACAATTCACTAGCATTATGTGCAAATGTAGCCACTATGACTAAATGCTACAGTGTGCAGGGAGGAAATAGTTTGAAGGAACAGCTCCTGACTGTTCCTACTTCTTTGAGTCATCCCTTTTACTCTCATTGACCTTTAAACAATGGTTTTTATAAACAACCATATATCCCTGGCTTCAGGAGGAGCCCTCTGATTATCTGATCAGTTAATTAACAGACTGTGCTGTAAGGAAACTATTTGTATGCCGCTACAAAGAGTCTTGTGGTCTTGTTAAAGTTGGACCAATTAGTAGTGACAGCCTGTTTGGACTAGAGTCCAGTTCATCAGATGCATGAAGTATTATCCCAGCAAGTCTAGCTGACCACCTACCTCCCTTTCCATTCATCCTTCTTTTTACATGCATGAAAGCATAAATGTGGAGAGCAAAACAGCAAAGAAATAGCAAAAATGTGATCTGTGAAAATGTATATGCAAAGCATAAGTTAAGCAACTGAATATTCACAATAGCAGTAAGTAGTGCTAATGCCATAATATAACTTTTGTTATGTTAATTAACACCTGTAGTGGGGCAGAGAAAAAACATTATCAAATCAAGCACGAATGGAATCAAACATTTTGTCTTGTTTTCATTCAGCTGAAATCTCTCTTTGAATTTCTTCTGTGGTGAATAGTAGCTTTCATGTCAGTAGTAGAGTGACCAAGTTTCTGAATATTGTCATTTCTGTTGAGCCCATTAACTTTTTTCCATAGAGACTGAGCTGATTGCTGGTGATCAGCTCCAGCCAGCAGGGCCAATGTTTGCAGCTGATGGGAGCTGTAATTTAACATCTGGAGGGCCACAAGTGTTTCATTCGTTGTTTAGTTGCACCTTTGGTCTTTCTGCTACTGTTTCTGTACTCCTTGCAACCTCTTGTGCTGACATCAACAGATTATGGTAGTACAGGGCTAGAGTGTCTATATGATGCTCTTATCAAATAAGTATTGTGCATGCTTATGCAAGAATAAATGCCTCTGAGTTCATCAGAACATACCCCCTAAGACGAGGGTTTAGGATTAAAGCTGAAGTTATATGGCCTATTAACATAAAATAGTAAAATGAGGTAGCTGCTAGTGGTCACAATTCATACTGGAAAATATTTGAAAGAGGCAAATAATGCTGCAAGTAATGCTTTATAGGAGTAGGAAGGCTGCAGTCTCGGCTTGTATCCTATCACATTTATTTGATGATTCCCATTTCATCACACGTATCCAACATCTTCTTCCAAACAGTGAGGAAGGTGGGGATACATGGGGATATCTCAGTTAAACCTCACACTAACCCTGTGAGATGGATCTAGGTGATAGATAGCCACTCACTCCAGTCCAGGCAGGTGATCTTCATGAGTGAGTATGGATTTGAACCCAAATATGGCTTTGATTTAATGGGGAAATAGTGAGGGTTGTTGGTATAACATGTATGGCACTCTGCGCAGACAACAAAGTGCATTAGACTCTTAATCACCTTAATTCCCAATCCTGTGGGGTAACTAGAATGGAGTGGTAGGAAGTTTTAAATAAATAAAATAAATCTGAATAAAGGATACAGAGATCTGAGCATAGCTCTTTTCAGATGCCGCCTCCATATATAGGCATAGGCCATGTATCTGTGGAGGAGAGAAAGCACAAGTTCATGATCTACTTCCATATTTATATATTTCTATGATGCTTTCATACCACTTAATATAATGAAATTTCTGTGGCTCTCATCAAAATGCATATATAAAACAATATAAAGTGATAAATGCTTAAACCAGTATAAAAATACAATAATACAATGGGAAAGTATCATAAGGGAGCCTGTGTAATGAAATGCATTTCCAAGAAGTGCTATATTATCACACCTGCTTCTTAATGGCATCAGAAATTATTTAAATATGGGGTGGGGGTGGGAATAGGAGAATATCACAGCACTGGTGGTCAAGTAACAGTTTAGGAAAGAGCCTTTGAAGAGTTCTGACATTAGTTCAGGATATTTAATTTACGTGATGACAGAGACTTTTTCTTTGCAGTGTTGGAATGAGTTTTTATACAATTCGTTTATGAAACCAGGCAAGGAAGAAATGCATGCCTGCCTTCATTCACTGTTTCATGCTTCTGCTATGGTATTTGCTGACATTTCACACATAATGCGGCTGAAAGGAAACTTTCTGATCTAAATTATGTTTTCATGGGAAAATAGGGGGTGGAATTAAAAAGATGATGAACTTGTACAGGCTGAGTTCACATCTGAGTTTGCCATACATTTCATGTTTTCCTTAAGTAGTTTGGATCACCTTATTTCTGTACTCTAAACTGTATTATGTATTAGGTTAAAAATACCCTTATATAGCTATCATCTGCATCTGTGTCTTCTATGTGCATCAGAGAAATATGAGCAAACATATTTGCAGAAGAGTTGGAAACTCTAAACACAATTAAGTAAATTAAATTATATTTATATCCCAATTTTCCACATGAAAATAAATAAATGAAAAACAGATTCAGCAACCCAACTATTTAAACTAAGACTAGGTAACTGGTGGCCATCCAAGATGTTTTGGCCTGCAACTCCCTTTGGTCATAGCCAGCATTTTCACTGATGTGGGCTGATAGGTGTTGCTGCCCAAAAGATCTGGAAGGCCACAAGTTGCCTATGCCAGACTTAAACAATGTAGCATAATTGGGAAAACAACAACAAGAAAGTGAAGCAGAGGTGGCAGGAGAACAATTCCAGAACCAAAACAGCAGCAGCAACGACCTAATTATTCTTGCCATTAGACAGCCCTTTACTCTGTTTCTTGCCAGATAAAAACAGAACTTTCAGATGAACCTCTTCAGATGAACATAGAGACTAAACAGCCTTATAAATGCATCAGGCACTTAGGGCTATCGAAGTAAGAGCTACCACTGTGAATAAACCCCAAATGTTCAGGGTGATTTCAAAATGGAGAATGAAATGAAATGTGATAATAATTAATTAATGTGCATCACATCTGACCAAAGCTGGAGGCACAGTGGGCCCCTTCAGGACATTTCTGACACTTCCCAAGGTGAAAGAGGCTTCCTTCCAAAGAAAGAGACAGAAACCAGACCTTAGCCTAGACCCTCAAGGGGCTTTGTTTGCACTGTCCTTCTGGAACTTTGCAGATTTCTTGCCTGTAGGCATCATGATGGTGTGTGCTGTTTTTTGTACAAATTACCCTGAATATAAGGGAGGGAAGATGGAAATGAATCATGCACAGCTCAGATGTAAGGCCTACATACCTTTCCACAAGAAGTGCTTTACCTATCCTACTGAAACTTTTCAGTTTTCTTTCTTAGAGATGCTCTTTTTTGGAGTGGGGGAGACTTTCTGAAGAATGGTTTACATAAAAGCACATGCTGGTTTAGATACACTCAAAATGTACAGGCTCCTTTTGGAAAGATGCCATGAACTTACATGACACAGTGGCCATAGGAATTATAACCATCCCTGCACATTTATCCAGTTCTACAAGAGCTATTTTTTAAAGATACAGGCAGTTGGGGTGTGTGTGTATGTACCACTGGTATTTATTATTATTTTTTAAATTCCCATGTTCATCAATGGGAGACACAAAGAATGGTTTCTGAATTTCAGCATGGGTTCTGTACCCAAGTCGAAGTAGATGGCATCTGAATCAGTCTGAGCAGAATCAGACCATTTTCTGATGTACTGAATAAGGGTCCAAGTTGACTCTCTTCCATTAAGCATTTGTTGACTTTAGTTACTTAAACAGACTGGATAAATTTACGTTCATATTCAGGCCATGACAGAGAAGGCGAATTTTAGACACCATAAATAAATTTCCTAGAACGGTTGGTCATAGAACCAACCAGCAGGGAGGCAACCTTGAGCTTAATATTTATTGGTGGTTTTGTAACTAGTATGAGATGCAAGATGTACATAGTTACTTATTTTTTTAAAGTTTTTAAAGCCACTTTTCAGGGAAACATTTCCAAGGCAGAATATGTACCAAGCATAGCATAACACACACGCACACACACACACACACACACACACACACACACACACGGTAGGAGACACTGAGCACAGTGCTATCTAATGTTATTTATAGGTAAGCAGTCCAAGAAAGTCCAATATAGTCGCTTAGGACTCCAAACCACAGTAACAGAAATTAATCTTTCCACAACTTGTTTCACTGGTCCTCTCCAAAAGTCAAAACATAGTCAAAGTAAAGGAGCCTCATGTAGATCCCATGATTTTAATTTCCCCTTCTCCTGTGTACCAGTTGTATCTTGTAGTCTTCACTCATAGAATAACCAGTGACCACAACAGCTATTCTAAGGTCAGCATTAACTTTCTTGCTCTTGTCTGGAGGTTTAGACAATTCACAGAGGTTTTCAAATGGTTTAACTTCCATGTGGCTTATCTCTGATAGCATAGATGGTAAAAATGAGTTAGGAGGATGAAGGTAAACCCAGTGTCATACATATACTCTTTGTCATGAATTAGACTTCTAGTCCAATCTCTCTCTGCTTTTAGGAATGAGATTAAGGCAAATCTTAATTTGGCTATTTAAATTTTTGATATAATTTGTGAATTTGATTTAAGGTGCAATCCCATGCATGTTTTCCATCTGAACTTTAATAGGATTGGGATCTTAATATTTCTTGTGTCTTTTGTTCTTGTTCCTATATATGTTTTCCGAATTTCTCAGAAGTGCCTTGGGTGCAGCAGAAAAATGTAATGAGCAAGTACAGACTATTATGTTTTTGTTTTTAAGGTCAAAAGATATGCTATGGTGATTCAACACATCCCTGCTACAAGATAGCCTATTTCCAAGATATGTCCAGGCGTGTGGGTTTCCAGGAAGCTCTCCATGCCTGTGAGATGGATGGTGGAGTACTCCTAAGCCTTGAAAGTGAAACAGAGCAGAAGCTAATAGAAAGTATGCTGCAGAATCTCACAAAATCAGGCCCTGGAATTTCTGATGGCGATTTCTGGATTGGGCTATGGAGACGTGGCGATGGACAAACTACATCAAGTGCCTGCCCTGACCTTTACCAATGGATAGATGAAAGCAGTTCACTCTTCAGGTAAATGTTTGTGACCGTTTCTCAAAGGCTTCTATTGAAAACAAAGGTTCTTTGCAGGAGGACAAAACAGGTCTAAATATTTATTTATTTATTTTAGGTATTTTTACCCCAATCAATAAGTTCGGGTCTCTGGATGGCTTACAAGTCAAAATCCAATAAATATATATAATACAAAATAATACAAAATATAATAAATAAATGCAGCCATGTCTGCCTTACAGCCCCCAAACCACTCAGAACTTTCTGTTGTGCTGATGTCTTTCCGCCTTGCTTTCTTGAGAAACCTCATCTAACCTGAGCCCTGATTAAGAACCAATTCATAGCAGAATCCTGCAACCCAGGATACAGCATCCACAAGATCAATGGCTTGTATCGGTGCAAGTTGTAGCTGAATAGGTAGAACTATTTAAGTCTGCACCTTCTTTCTCCTCTAGATTTTATCCTCCCTTTGCTCCACTGGTCAAAGCGTCATTTCCCTTTCTTTATGTTGTTTCCCAAAATTCTTCCTCTCTTCTCTTCTGTCTTGTTTACCTGTAGCCCATTCTTGTTGCTGTGTCATGAGATGCCCCTCAAATAGTAGAAATATGTTTGCTGGAAACACATGTTCATGGACACAGGCGCTAGGGATGGGTTACTCACTGCATAATAAATAGTGTTGCTTTTGTTTCCCTCATACAGACCTTGAAGAATGTGTCCCAGTTGCCCCAAATCCTGCACTGTCACATGCTAGGATTTTTAAACAGTATCTGTAGAGACAGTTGTCAGTTCGGCATGACTTCATTCTTCTTCATCATTGTGTTGTCATAATCATAGTCATTATAACCTCTTCATTGAGGTTTCCAGTGGAAAGGTAGCAAATAAAACAAAAAGGAACAACACAATAGTGTATTAAAATTTAAACTCAGTGACTCGGTAATCACACTGCACACAAGACCTCTTAAGCAAAGAACTTCTCTATCCTGTTATCTGATGTCCGTTTAAAATGCTGGCAAGAACTGAGACCTTCATCAGAGGAAGCATCAAGCCTCTGGGCCCCCAAACTCTCTCTCTCTCTAGCTCAAAACATCTACAGGAAACACTGTTTGGATCCTGGGGCAGTTCTCAATAACATTATCCTCACAGTAATTTCTGCCCTCTTCAGTAACTATGCCACAACAATTGAAGCTTTCAAGGTTTCTGAAACTGCTATTTCAGATGAATTGAGACAGGCTTCATGGAAGCTTTAAAAGAGTACATTTGGCCTATCCTGAGCAATTCTGGTTAACATTACTATGACTGGAGCTACCTTGCCTGACTTTGAGAATTCTTTGGCAGGAGAAAAGGGAACTTTAATGTCGTTATATGGGATTTCATGTATTTAAAACATTCCCATTTTTCTCTTTATCAAATCAGATTCCAGAGTTCTCTGCAACAGTCTAATGTAATGTTGAACTGCAATAGTAAAAGACAGCAAGTAATTTTTTTGAGGTTTATAAGAGCTGAGCAGGGCTGTCAAAGACAGGATGTTTGTTCATAGGGTTGCCATACAGAAGATGTTATGGCACATGACAATTTATTTTGAGGCATACTGTTGCATTATACAAATTCAAATGCCTTGGTAAATAAGAATGTCTCAAACTGGCACTGAAAAGATGGTAAAGTAGGCAGCAGACTTGCCTGTTTCAGAGTACACTGCAAAGCTGTGGTACAGTCACCAAGAAGGCCATCTCCTTGGGACGACATAAGGTATTTCAAGCAAGGAAGGCACTTGGACTAGGCCCTCAGAGGAAGATCCTAAGTCATGACCAACTTAATGTTGGAAGTGATACTCCTTCAGGTAGATGGGTCCCAAGAATCTAAAAATTTAAAGGAGAATTGGATTCAGAAAGACATAGGGAGCCAGTGCATTTCTTCTAAGTTTGGAGTGATAGGAACACATCTAACGCTTCCAGTTAAAATTGTGACAGCAAAATTTTGGCACTACTTGAAACTTCCAAATTATCTTCAAGGGCAGCTCCATGTATAATGCACAGCAGTAATCTGTAGCCAGTATCTCTTTGTATCTCTTCCACAAACTGGGTTCAGCAGACAAACTAGCAGAAGATATGTCATGCAACCAGTGCCATCAGACTTCTAGTGCTAAAGCTTACAAGTTAGCAATCCTCTTTGCTAATATGTTTTTGTTATATTTGGACTTTGTAATAGAAATTGGTATACAGATGAGCCTTCCTGTGGGAGCGAAGCTTGTGTTGTGATGTATCATCAGCCAACTGCAAATCCTGGTTTGGGAGGGCCTTATCTTTACCAGTGGAATGATGACAGATGCAATATGAAGCACAATTTCATCTGCAAGTTTCAACCAGGTAGGGAATTCCGAAGCCAAGCTGCACATGAAATGTATGATTTTGGCTTTATTTTTAAGATTATCTTGGGTTGTCAGTGACCTATCTATTACATCTTTCCAGAGGTGAAACAAATATAACAATTCTTGGGATTCAAAACTGAGGAGGAATTCTATACATCCCACCATGAATAAGTCCTTGCTTCTAAATACCATGACTCTGTCCATCCATCATCTGTTGCAAAACTGCAATGAGTACATTGCTGTGACAAATCTTTGAGCAGCCTAGTTACAAAAAGAATCCTAGGCAGAGCTTCTGTTGAGCTGCAGAATAGTTGTGTACATTCTCATTGGTTGGGCATCTCGTGAATGGAGGTTAGGATGAAAATATGTAACAACAGTGTGATCCTATAGAAGCTTACCTTGAAGTAAGTACCATTGTAATCAGTGGCGCTAACAGGGAATAGAATTCCAAACCTAATTAAGTACCATTTAGGTGGAGGAACTTTAAATTGTCGGTCATATGTTGAGGACACAGTCACATCCTGTCATACATAATGGTTCACTTTCAGTTTAGCTTAAAGTATCTGAACATTCATTTTAAAACTGAACATTGTCTAGATTTTTATCCATGGTCACACTGAAAAATCATATAAGTGGTCTATTTTTTCATTATTGGCTGATTTATTTAACAGATGACATCCTAGAAAAAGAATTAGGAGACAGAACAGATCCACATTATGGTAAGAAACCTCTAGATTGAGTAACAGTGGTAAAGCAATATAATCTGATTAATCATTTTGAAAACCCAAACAGTCGTATAGATGAAAAAAGCAGACTTGTGGTGGAATAACTGACTGATGACTCCTGGAGAGAGTAGTGTTTACACTGTATGTTTTGCTAAGTATATGAAATGGGTATGTTTTAAAACATAGTAGTTTGTAATTCCTAACCCAGATGTGATTGCAACTTTACAATAAAATCCTATAGACAAATATTTCATCCACACTTATTCCATTTTAAAACTGTTTAAGTGTGGGGTCTTCATTGTCCTTTCAAAGTGTAATAATGTTACCAGAAGCTATAGCTCAGAAAATAGATTTCATTTTATTAAAATATGTAATTGCTTTCTCAGAAGTCCAAGCAACGGTTCCATCTGGGAAGCCTCATGATTCAAGCAAGCCAGAAGATCATTTGCCAGTGGTTGTTACTGAAACGGGTGGTAATGTATATGATGCTAATATCTGAGCAGTATTTAAGCATAAAGCATAGGTTATATAGACATGCAATAACATTTTTTAAAGCTTTCAGGGAAGCTTTTCTATTTTGAAAAACCTTCTCATTGAAGCTTTGAAGTAATCTTAGGATTCCCGGAAATACAGCTTAAAAATCAAAACCAATGAAGACTGAACAATTAGGTACCTCTTGTGCTTTAAGATTTCATGGTCTTGAGCCCTCTTGATCACATAGAACAGAAAGAGGTTCTAGGCACCAATTGTGCTGGTGGTGTTTAATACAGAGACAGGCAACTTTTGTCTGTCCAGATAACTGGGCCTGTAAGTCCCCTGAGTCCTCTCTTTTGCCTGTGCTGGCTAGATCTAGTGGCTATTGTAAACTAGAACATCTGGAGGGCCATGCTGAGAGAATTTATATATACCATTTTAATGAGATGAAACTGGAACTCTCTTGTTTCAACAAAATGATTTTTTTTGTAGGTTTAATTCCCAATCTAATTTATGTTGTTATACCAACTATACCACTGCTGTTGTTGATATTAGTGGCTTTTGGGACATGCTGTTTCCAGATGTTGCATAAAAGGTAAATATTATACTTGGAGAAGCATAAACCTTGAAACTTAGGTTTGTGGGTGTTAGGTACTGTAGCATGTTCCATTCATACTCACTTATTCATATTCAGATCCATTCCACATGCAATGCAATGCTATTCACCTCTGACCTGTAACATTATCACAGTGTAATGCACCAAACCAACAGAAGGACACATGTAATTATGCATATACCTAAAAATTCACCATGTGCTCAGTAATCCTAGCATGTTAATTAGCCATGGTACCTCTCCTAAATAAATTAACATTACTTTTATGCTAGTATAAATATGTTCTTGCTTTTTGGTACATTAACACTGCTAGTAAAATGTCACCCCAGCCAAATACTTAAACAAGAAAACTTTGCAGTATAAAAATGGATGCATTGTTTTTTTCTAACCTTTTCCCACATCTAAATATTTCCTTTCAAAGTTTTACTTAAAAGATCCAAGGCAGTCAATGACTTACTCAGCTTTAAAAATTGGCTACTTTCAGTTACTGAAAGGACTGGAGGAAAGACTGTTTCCCAGGGCCAGATCTGTTGATTCACCTACATATATGTTCTTAGAATATTATGGTTACTGCTTCCTCTGGTCCACAAGTAATGACTGTTTAGGCATGAAAGCTACTGCCACCCACCCTCAAGGAGTAGCAACATCAGGATATAACTAAAGGTGACCTCATGTTGAGTTCCTCTTTCACCTCCCCTGTCCCATTACTGGCCAAATGTGCCATTTCTCCAGTTCCTTTGCCAGATCGGCATTAGGCCATGTTGGGAAGCTAAGGTGGTGAGACACAGAAATGTTCAGCTCAAAGTTACAAGAAGGAAAGGAAATGACCCAAGGCTTCCATTTCAGTAGCAGGCTCATGTCAGGTATGACATCTGGCTGTACTCTATGGGAAGAAAAGGTATATTGCTTCTGCTCCTGTAGGGAGCATAACTTTTGACAGAAGCACTGACAACTAAGGCAAGGCATGAGAAGTGTCCAGATGAAATGAACATACCACCCAAAGCCAAGCATTTCTCCTGTGCATTATGGCAAATCAACAACAGCTTGTTCATGCTTAGCGGCTTTCCGTTTCCTTTCTTCTAGGGAAGCAAGGAGAAACTGCTTCAATGAGTCATCTCCATTATCATCTGAATGCCTTGCAGAACATTTAGATTCTAACTTGGTATATTTCTCAGTTTTTAAGATTGCAAGCTACAGTTCCTGAAAACTTTCCCAAATACCTAGAGTTCTCCCCAAACACTTTGCAGAGGGACAGAATCTCCTCATTTGGTATCATTTGGTTTCTTTGTGAAGTTATGACAACCTGTATAAGCTCTAGACATACAGTTCAAAATGCCCTATTTTCTGCTCTAAGTTTTAAATCACCTGATAGCTGCCAGCATCACCACACACATTCTGGATAACCCACACATTTCTCTGGCCATGCTGCTGAAATTTTAAATGTTAGAACAGTGCCTTGGAACTTAAGCCACAGAGAAGCAGCTTCTATACCACTGATGTAGGGCTCCAAGTTAGCTGCAAAATGCATTTACATTACAGGATTGGTTCCTAGGTTTAGGGTAGTGGAATGAGGAATCGAAGGCATTTTTCATTTTTTTAATGGCCATGAGTGTGCTCATGATTTGATGTTTATTATTTTATAATTACATTAATTCTAATAAACTTTGGATCATGGTAGGAATCAATAAATGGATGTCCACAGGTAAATTTAATAAAGAGGGAGTTAAGCACTCCATTATCCAATGAGGCAATTAGACATATACTTATTTTTTCAATAACTCAATATAAATAAATTAATATTGTATAAACTATACTAAATCTCCAGTTTCCTCAAGTATATATTTCTGAATCATTAGCCCCCATTAGTAATGTTAGAGGTTCAGAGATAGTCTTACTATACAAGTAGAACTGACATGCCAGCTACATTCATTGCTCAGGTCATGGTGATTCTCTTTTCCCATAGTCTTAAAAGTACTATGACTGAGAAGAATGAAGTCTAACTTCATAGTGCAGGGATTTATAACTTGCCCACACTACTCGGTCATCTCTCAAGATAATTTACAGAGGGATAGAATATCTTCACCTGTATCGGTTTATTTTCAAGTGAAGACCTTGAAGATATGACAATAGCTTTGAAGATACAGTTCAAAGTGCACTGTGTTACTGCTGTAATGTCGGAAGGGTTCTTACACTGTGGATGAGCCCATTTGGGCTATTCTTCAATGCCCAATTGTCTCCAGCTGCACCCCACATGTCCTGGATGGGTAACAATTGCCTGGCAGGAGTTTACACTGTAGTCCTGTATTGGCCTCCATCTTCTTTACCATTTGTTCTGCCAGCTAAAGCTGATGAGAGTTGTGACTCTCCAGATGCTTTTGCCTGCAAGTTGCCGACCCTTGCCTTAGTGAGATGGCGCACAGAATCTAAGGGTGCTTCTAGATGAGACATACATACATCATGAAGTCGCCTTGCCTTATCCATAGGATTTTGCAGGTGCATTCAGACTTCGTTATCTTCAGTGCGTAAGCCCACTGCCACGTTTTCCAAATCTTCTTCCATCTTTTTTTCTTTTAAAAATATGTAAAGTTACAAAAGATGGAATATAGTCACTCAATGTGTTTTGATTGGTAGTGTTAGGGACCCTCCGTCTGAAAGTGTCCATGTCATTGGGTGTCTAGGGTGGACACAGCCTTCCTTTATCAATGTTTCTTTTAGGAAATATATGATCTTAGGTCTGAGACCAGTTTTTATCTACTAAGTGCACCATCATTAATGGAAAGCTAAATGAGAAAATTTAGAGAATACTGAATAATTTTATTTTATTAGTTATATTGCATCATCCATCAGCCATTATATAATTCATGAATGTATGAAGAAATGTATAATGCTGTAAATGAGTATATACAGTTATGCATACATAGACCTTTTTAATTTTCCAGTAAAGGAAGAACAAAAACCAGTCCGGACCAATCTACACTATGGATTTCTAAGAGCCAGAGGAAAGACAGTAGCATGGAGGTATAAAAATATGACAGAAATGAAAGCAGGAATGACACTTTTTCATTCAGGATTTATTATAATGTCATGTCAGATATTAGCTTGGAATGGCTTGAGTTGAAATGGCAATGGATCAGCAAAATGAACTGGAAGCTCCCCCTTGAGGCAATTGTTCAGATCATTTTTATATGCAATGTTTGATTTTTAATTCAGTAGCAAGACATGGCACTCTAAAAGAAAAACAAAGAATGCATTTATTTTGCTAAGGAAATGACTCCGCTACAGATAGTAATGTGATGGACAGAGCATTTGGAATATATATATGTGAGAAATGTCTATTGTATGTGTCAGTTCTAGAACAACTCTTTCTAGTTTGTTACCTTTTTTCTTGTTAGTTTCTCATACATTGTACTATTTCTCATTAATTGATGTCTTGTAAATTCAGTTAATATAAATTTGCAGTGTAACAAAATAATTTATCTTTGCATAAAATTGATAAAATATTAATTGTAGATGTGTTTCTTTGTGTTAGGAAGTGTTTTGACTTCTGCTCTAACTTTGGTCCACATTAGTAAAGACATCTGACAATACTGTGTTATTCTTCTGTAAAACTAAACATCAAAAACCTGAGGAAACCAAGAGATGCACTGTAAATAATACACATTTCTATCAAGTGAGTTTATTTTGATGATGATTTGTTTAGAATCAAAACAAATCATTCTGGCGAGGGCAAATGATAGGGGATTTCTCTTCCACTGTTGCCATCACCTATGGGAAAACCGTTCCTTCACGTATGAGGTTTCTTACTTATAGATACAGTTTATATTTCAGGAACCAAGGAATCACCTGTCTCTATAACCCAGAGTTCCACAAGTTGGTCTTTTTCTGTTACCATTAGTTCTGTTAGAATGTTCTAAAGCTTCCTAGTACTTGGCATAGGCTTGAGATGGGCACTAATGCTAGACACTATCTGAGCAATCAAACATATAATTTATTAAAGGTCCATAAATGGTACCACTATTTACTCTGGGCATTTCAAAAACCTGCTTAGTAGCAATTTATTAGGACTCAAGAGACACCATTGCTCTTATCCGAATACCCTTACAACAAAGTCAATCTTCAGGATACTGTCTTCCTCTAACATCAAAGCTTCTTCCATTGTATTGCTAGTCTCTTGGATGGTTCATCTAGGTTTTTACTTCCTGTTTGTATAAACTTCCCCTGACAAGCTCTTGGTTGCCTCTTCGTATGACACAGGCTTATACTCCCTACCTTGATGTTCACCAGACATAACTTATCCTGCACCTTAAGTGAATATCCACTATTCACCTTAAGAGGAAGAATAGTGTAGTATTAAAATTTTAACAGTCCCCTTAGCAGTCCCTTAGTCCTTCTCTTTAAAGCATCACAAACCAATCAGTGGAATGCAGCTCCCTGCTGTCAATTATCTTATTTTAATGGTCATTTCCCAAGTGCTCTTTTCCACCTTGCTAGAATCCCCAGCCAATCAGAAATGACCTGACTAGCCATATTATAAAGGTATCTTCTCTGTCTCCTCTTTCAGAATGCCACTGAGCAACTAATACACAAGTCTTCCACAGCAACAAAACTCTAGTCAGATACACTGAAACTTCACAAATAACATATTACAGAATGACAAATTTATATATAAGCATTTCAGTCAATTAATGTGGCCTTTAATTCACAGAGGACAAATTAGGGGTGTAACTTCAAAAAGCTACTTTAGAATAACTCAGTTTAAAGAACTGCTGACTGTAGGAAAAGAAATGAACTACCTCACTCAATGATTTGCTATGGTCAAGGAAGCAGAAATTCACAGGTTCTGGTTTTGAGGGGACCCACTTTGTTACAAAAGGATAGCTTGACTCCTTGTTTTGCTACTTTACCTGAATCCTGTACTAGAAGGGAGAAGACCCTTTCAGTGCAGTTTAGATGTTGTGCCACTGACCTTATAAAACCCTGAGCAGCACAACCCTACCATACCTGGACTGTGATAGTTTTGACTTGGGGTGATGAAGAAGCTACCAACTGTTCCTTATGCAGTATAAGACCACATATACACACCGCTCTGCTACATTGGGTTCCAGTGGCACAGCAGTAATGCCAGGTAGTGGGTATATCCTTGAATCAAGCAAGAAGATGACAAGATTCTGGGTTTGTTGTTCTGTAGTTCAAAGAAGGGAGGTTCAGGCCCACTTACCTGGCTCAGGAGCAAACTTGACCAACAAAAACCTTTGCTTGCATCTTTGGTTCAGGATTTGAGATTTACAGTAACTTAAAACTTATAGATGTGAGCCGTCCTGAGGCTTTTGCGACAGGACAGCATATAAATATTTTAAATAAAATAAATAAAAGAATAAATAGGTTGGATACATTATCAGACATTTTATGCCTTGTCATTATGTCATTTGCAGATGGATGTGGAGGGGAATTTATTAAAAGGTATTGTATTCAAACCAGACTATGAAACTGCTGTCTATGGGGTTTGATCAGGTTTGGGTGCTTCATCACCTTGTAGCAATTAAGAGATTAATTGGAAAACCAAGTGCAAACTTTAAGAAACAAAGGTCATATTCAGCTCTGAGAAATATACATTTCCAAGCCTAGACAGTGTGGTTAGGTTGACCTTGGACCTCTGTTCCTCATTTCTAGCATGGAGTAGTTTCTTGCTTCACAAAGATATCATGGATGTTTATGACATAAGGATAGGAAAAAGCATTACACAAGAATTATGGCTGGTATTATATTAGGAATGCAATATAGAATTTTCTGTTTCTGTTTATACCTTAACAGCAATGATCTGCAATAACATTAATATGAAATATTGTCTTGAGCACTTGGTCATTATATAGTTCACTTAAAATAAGGGCATGTCTGTATGCTGGCATGTGGTGGGATCAGTTTGAGCATAGTGAGTTGCCTTGCCCCTTTGGCAACTTTTACTAATTTTACACTTCTCAAAAATAACCCAAGGGCCCATTATAGGGTGTCAGTACCTGTGCACAGAACCCTGATCACATTAGGACTCAAGTACATACAAGAGCACTTCCTCCAATATCAACCAGTCATTCCTTTAAGATCACCCAGGAAGTTCTTGCTTGAAAGTCCAAGAGGGGGCATGGCCAATGATGTGACGACGCAGAGTTTTGAACTTGCCTTGCATCCTTGTTACTTCTTGATTGTGTGTGTCCATTCTGCAATGCTTTTTGGTTTGATTATGAATAAATCATGGTTGATTGTCCTATTATTTATAAATAATGCATTATTATTATTATATTACTACTACTATTAATTCTTATTATTTTCTACTCTGAGGAAGGGCACAATACATAAATATGATGATGGAACTTCAGGAGCCATGTTCTGAAATATTAATGTGCTTATTGCTGAGCAAATGTACATCAACCAATACTGCTCCTCAGCCTGCATCTTTTCTAGTAGAGCTTACATGTTTTTTTCATGAACATGACTCAATTAAATCAATAATGAAGATGACGCATCTTGTTTTTTAATTAGAACCAAAAGTAGTTTTTTTTTTTAAAGTAACTGTTTACAGTTTGTTCCTAAGCTTTGGAAACTTCTGTCCCAGCAGTTACTTCTAAACAAGACACAGATATTGTGATAAGACTTCACTAGTACAGCATCATTGTTCTAATTGGCTACTGTTAGATACCCAAAGTACTGATATCAGTGTCACATTGCTACTAGGATTCAGCATTTTTCCATTCTTTGTGCTACAGATTTCTTTTCTGAAAGGCTTTTATTTACCAAACTGTACCTTTTTTGGTGCACCTTGAACCATTTCCCCCCTTGGTTTGCAAGTGAAAAATCCCCCGTCTTTATCATCTCTAGTTTGCACAGCTAACAAAGACTCTTTCTTGAGACTCTTGCTGCATCTAGTCAGAGCACACCATTCTGGGATAGAAGAACTAGTAGCTGACCTGTGTGTGTGTCATGATGTATACAAATCTGGATGCCGTTCTTTCCTAGGATTTGGGAATATGTCTGCTCAAATTAGTCCTGCTTGCTCTAAATCATAGGCAATATTCAAGTCTACCTACACATCAGTGGAACTCACAGTTAGTACAACAAGAAGCTAATGATTTGATAAAAAGGTAAAGGTTTCCCTTGATGTTAAGTCCAGTCATGCCTGACTCTAGGGGGCGGTGCTCATCTCTATTTCCTAGCCGAGGGAGCCAGCGTTTGTCCACAGGCAGTCTCCGTGGTCATGTGGCCAGCATGACTAAACACCGAAGTGCACGGAACGCTGTTACCTGTCCACCAAAGTGGTACCTTTTTATCTACTTGCATTTGCATGCTTTCGAACTGCAAGGTTGGCAGGAGCTGGGACAGAGCAACAGGAACTCACTCCATTGTGCAGATTTAAACTGGTGACCTTTTGATCTACCAACCCAGCAGCACAGCAGTTTAAACCACTGTGCCACCTGCAGTCCCAATGATTTGATATACAACCAGAAATAACTGGGCATGCTCATGTTCCAAAATAGGTGGAACCCCAAACTAAAAACAAACATTTGTGCATGTTTGCTTTTTGAAATGCTACCTTTTTGTGATGAGTCCTGCACATGCAAGAGTTTGGGTGGGGATACAGCAGCAGTATTGCATGTGTGCAGTTTCACTTGCAACAAAGATAGCGCCACAAAAATATATAGCTTGAGAAAATATGAAATTATATAAATGAGCACATACAGTAAAAAAGAAGAAAGAATGAAAACTATACTCAGTTCTATATAAACAAGTTGGAAGAATTTGTTTTCTATGGATGGTTCTTCAATAAAGTTCAATTTCTCTTTCTCAGAGAAACCTGGAATAATTGTACTATTTGGGACTTGCTTTCTTAAAGACTTTGGTATGTGACAATTGTATACAGCACAGTCCAAATTAAATGGAATGCAGAAGGAATCCACAGATAAGAAAGGCTGACTTGTTTACAGTGGGCCAATGATGACATTGTAGTATATATTATAATTATTATTCTTTCTGAAGAAAAATGCCTGCAATCATAAAAGCAGAGTGAGAAGGTAATGAACTACCTATTTATGAAGAAACCTTTTCAAGGGCAAGCATTTGCATGTCACATCTGGAAGTGCATCTAGTTAACAGAAACTGTATAGGAAAGCAACTTTATATAGCAAATGATGAAGAAGAATAGAAAGAACAGAATAAGAATGCTGCCAGTGCTTCTTAGGGTTACAGATTTAACTGGGTTGTTAGCCTGTATCACTTTCAGGTCACCAATTTAGAAAGCAAAACATTCCCCCCACCCCTCCACCTTGTCCCTCAATCACAATTGCCATTTGAATCTTGACTTACTTTTCTGGGTCAAGCAGTGCATTTTCTTTTACTTAAGAATGCAATCCTGTGAAACTCTTCTTAAAAGTAAGAGTCATTGGCTTCACTGGGACGCACCCTCAGGCATGTCTTTATATAATTACAGTCTCAATCATGTGAGTTATTGCAGGTTTCAGTGTATGTTGCTCATAATTTAAGGCACTGATGATACAACACAAATGAGAGCATTCACTTTATTGCAACCATATATTAAAATATTCTGAAACGTGGAATTGTTTCAGAGCATACTCAGGTCATCTGTATGTGATATTACATGAAGAGGTATTTGCAATTCAAAGTGGGCATATTCCCTGAATTATAGAGGGGACCATGCAGCTTTAAATACAGTATATTTTATGCTTCAAAGATAACCTAGAATGATTGCTTAGGTATCTGAATGAATTATTGATCCCAGATCAAACATGTCTGTAGTTTGGGCAAGACAAAAGAATTTCTCTTTGTCAGATTTTGGGGTGTAAACTAATATCCTGGAAAAAATAATACTACAATAGCACCTTTCATTAATTCCAATGGAAAAAGGTTCCTTAATACATCACAGCAATAATAGTTGGCTTTTCCATTGCTTGGGGTCAAAGTGTTATGGTAGTTCAATTGGTCAGTTGTGCAAGTTCTTGCCATCATAACTTAGGGTAGTCATGAATTCTACTTCAGGTAGGACTTGCAGAGGACAGTCGTATGTTAAAAGCCATCTTTTATATGGAGGACTAAGTCTAGCGTACAGACAAATAACTCAAAAGAAGGGAAAATGGGGGCCTTGAAGTGGCCCATCAGCAGTTAGCCCCTGAACAGCAGAGTAGCAGGAATGCAGGGCATCTGGCCACTCTTCTCTACCATAGTGTTATGGACTGTATTTCTCTGTGTAGTATTTATTTCTAAATTTGCATTATTTATATAAATCAGAACATGCAAATTTGGGCATATCTGTTTCCACTTATCCCTCTTGTTTTGGTGGTATATTTACTCTTTTTTGACAGTATGTAAGTAGTTAACCTCTGTGCACTTCAGAAAAAATTGAATCAGTTGATGCTTCTTCCATCAACAGCCTATAGACATTTGTCCTTCAAAGAAGAATTAGTTTGCGAAAGCCTCAATAACTTTGTGTGTGGACCTTTTAGCACTGGAGTTTGTGATAGCTGATTTTCAAAAGCATATATTAAGCTTCAAGAAGTTGTTTTAATAGTCAGAGCTGCAATGTCAAATAATTGCTCTTCAAGATGCTCTTCCCACATTTCCCATTCCAGTCTTAGGAGAACAGTTTGGCGGTAAAGGTCACCATGCTAGGCCCAGCTTTAGTCATGGAAGCTTTAACAAATTCCTTGGATCACCTTCAAAGATAACCTCTGCCATGGTTTGAATTGTTACAATTACCCTTTTCTGACAGATGGTGTGGTATGTATGTTACATGAATATCCCTGCCCTTCAAGTCCCATTGTTTCCAGATTTTTGTGAACACTGCTAATGAATTATTCTTTTTATCCAATCAACAAATCTGGAAACATTCACATAAACGCCAGGCCGATGTGGGAGTGCACACTTGTAGCCAAAGGATATCACGCCAGCCAGTATCCACTTTTCACTCTCTTGACACATCAGTGGCCCACCGGAATCTCCCTGGAATGACAAATAGAAATTAAAACATTCTTACATGGATTCTTTTTTTTTGAAAAACAAAAGTATTTCTAAAGGCTAGATGAGATTTGCTATGGCCTTAAGCATTCAGTTAGATGCCTGTCTGTTATGTGCAGTGTTAATGCAGCCCTCTGTATGCTTTTCTAGTTTAAGCTAAATTCTTTGAGCATGCATGAAAGTGTGTCACAAGAGCTTTTGTAAACACTGAAGGAATAGATGCTGCCTTTCTTAGACTCCAAAGCATCTTTAGATGCTCTCTGCTTATGACAGCAGCCCATGGCCTGTAATGATATTTGCAGTTGCTTCTTTTTCCCTTGGGTGGTGGGGCTGGATACGGTTTTTTTCCATTAAACAAATTCAAGGATGTTAAGGTCACAAATAGCAACAAATGAAAGCAGTAGGATGACTACAATGACGATGCCACTGCCAGAGACGAGGCCTCACTTCCTGGCAAGTTAAGTTCTACTTTTTCAGCCATCAGTATTGTTAAACCCCTGTATAAAACACCTAGTATCACAAGTAATGATCAGAGAATCAAGCAACAACTCACACTGTAGCAGAGAAAACATACTGTTTCCATTTACCTGGCAAGAATCAATTCCTCCTTCATCATATCCAGCACATAGCATATTTCCAGTAATATTGTACTCAGGCATCTGCTGCTGGCATTTCTTTCGTGTTATAAGAGGAACTACTGCTTCTTGTAATATATTTGCAACAGAACCTGTTTAAAACTCAGAAATACATACATTTAATCAGTGTCTTATATAATGCCTGCCAAGTTCTTCAAACAAGGTTTTCATTTGGACAGTATTAATTTCCATTAGGAAGCGACTGAACTGCCTAAGTTATCAGATTACTAAATTCAGTGAAGTATATACTGGTAGCTGAGCATCGCAGTCCTTACCTACTCTGTGGGAAACAGTGTGCAGTATCCTGTGCTGCTCATATACTAATAGAATGGACTGTTAGCACAATAGGAACTTAGATTTGGAGCTCCTCTGACTTAGCCCATTTTGGAAATGAGCTTTTCAGAAAATATATCAGGATTTTTTCAGTAATCATTAGTTCCTGTTGTACTAGCAAAGATACAAAATTAATATAAAATATGCCCAATGTTACTTCCAATATTTTCTTCAGAAAGGTGTGAAAGGAATAAATACATGTTCATGCATATTTAAATAGCTGGATACCCACATATGGAAAATCTGACTGAAGATATTTTGTTGTCCTAAATAAGAAACACAGGGCAAGATGAGGCCACTGTTTCAAATGTTGATAAGGTTAACATATGAAAAAATTTACTTTAAAGCTGAACATTCATTTCTGCTTATATATTTGGAATTTAACTGGGTTCCATAGGTAGTCAATAAGACTGACTTGTACCAGCACTCTTTCTTAAATGTGCTGATGTCTGTGTTAATGCACAGACTAGCTCGAAGTTTGCACTTGCATTGCCATGCTGGGTTTCTCATTCTCTCATTTCATTCTGTTTATTTCAACCAAGAATCATCAGAAATCATTGACATGCACAGAAGAAGTCCTGGGGAATGGTCTGATAGCACATGATGAAGCCACCTTGCTTAAGTGAAAGAGATCTGGATCTGGTCATTATATGGATGGCAAATTGCCCAATATATGTTGAGTTTCATGATGGAAGAGAGGTAGAATTCAATTTTGATAAGTTGTTTAACACCACTAAATCCTAAATAATACAACATTAAATTTACTTGGTGTCAAATATTATTTCTTCCTGAATCTTGTATTATATTCTACTGAACTAAGAAATATTCACATTTAAGTTTGTATATGATGTCTGTAAACAAAACTGTCCTAATTCTATATGTTTATCCTGGTTATATAAGAAAGAATGTGATTTGCCATGGTAATTCCGTATAATCTTACTTATGTAGTTTATAATTGAGTGGAAAATAATAGAAGGATAGACAAATTTCTTTTGAAGTATAAACAACTAAGAATGCTAGTTAGATTGATGAAGGTATAAGCTTTTGTTGCACTGCCCTTCTGTTTACCATTTTCATCACCTGCACCCATGTATTTATCTGCCAACTGAAGATAGCACTTCAGTAATCTGATGAAGTGGAATTAAGCCCATAGAAGAGTGCACCATAATATGCTAGTTTTTAAGTTGCCACAAGACTCTTTGTAGTTTCTGATTTATTTATTTAGAACATTTCTATGCTGCCCCATTCGCAAAAAGCCTCAGGGAGGCTTACAAAATAAACAAACAATCATATAATTAACCTTAAAAATCCGGAAACATCTCAGCACAAGCATAAAAACCCAATAAATACAATCAATAATTAACAATTAAAATAACTTTTAAATAAAAAGGTTTTGGCCTGGTGCCGAAAAACAAATAACAACGGCGCCAGTCGGACCTCTCTGAGGAGCGCATTCCATAGATGGGGCGCCACCGCAGAGAAGGCCTTCCTCTGGGTACTCACCCTCCTAATATCTTTCATGGAGGGTTCCCGGAGAAGGGCCTCTGCCGCCGATCTCAAGGGGCGGAAGGGCATATATGGATGCAAGCGCTCCTTTAGATAACCAGGTCCCAAGCCGTTGAGGGCTTTATAGGTGATAACCAACATCTTGAATTGGGCCCGGACTTCAATGGGAAGCCAGTGAAGCTGACGGAGGACTGGGGTTATATGAGAACAACGCCCAGTCCCCGTCAGCAACCTGGCAGCTCTGTTTTGCACCAATTGAAGTATCCGGACCGTCTTCAAGGGCAGCCCCACGCAGAGCGTGTTACAGAACTCTGTAATTTAATGGAATCTTTAAATACATCCCCCACTCAAAAAGGGCAGTTTTTGAAGGCATAGTCAAAAATTATAGAACAATATTCCCTGTATCAAGAATAACACGATAGAGTGGAAGAATGCCACTCTGAATTGAGGAAACTTGTCACTTTTCCAACTTCATACTGTTGAATGGGTGACTGACTTTTATTTATTTGGTCATATGTGGTATGTAGGTGTGGGCATAATTCAGTTGTGGTTAGGGTGCTGAGTATCCATGAGCACTTTTATGTTGACTGGAAATTCCAGAGGCTTTATGCTCAGGGTTTTGTGGCCTTGTGTGGAGTGAAGTTGACACCTCACCCACTTTAAATTTTGCAATTCTGGGAGGAAGTGATGTGGGAAGTCCTCTGTAGCCTGCAGGCACCATCTGGCAAGTGTGAGATGTCTTGCTTGATATTATAGTAACCTGTAAGACTAGTAGCCTGTACTACCCCAACCTCTGGAGATCTGTTCTTAAGAAACAAGAGCACAATTTATACCAAACCATGATGTGTCCCTCTCTTTTTTGCTTCTCCCATTCACTTAGTATAGTTAAGTTCAGGCTCTGCTGCAAAGTTGCTGTAATTAATCTAATTTACATGCATAATATGCATAACATCATGCATTACATGTAAATTATGCTCTTATAATTCATTTGTATTCATTTTCACCAAGTTTTCTTGTTGTGATTGCATCAGGACAATTCCAGAATATGAAGAGAACAGAGTTCTGCTCATGCTGTGATTCCAATAAGACTTTTTAACAGTGTGATGACATACCTTGATGTATGATTCTTCCCCAGCCAGCAATAGAACAATTAGTTCCTGGCAAAAATTGTTTGCTGTTGTCTGGTAAGCAAATAGGCTGAATGTAATCTGAGAAAAACAAATGATCAAACAGTTTTAGTCCCAGTGTCCAGTCTTTCATGATGGCATTATTCAAGCAGTTCCTCAGAGTCTATGGTACCGAATTCTAGTTGCATCAAATTCTTCTTCTGTCTGAAATGTGCAATATCTGGATTTTCTGAAGTTATTTTCTCTTTGGACCTAACTCAATTCATTACATGAAGGACAAATTATTAAAGAAAACAGTCCTACCTGTGTAATTCACTCTGAATTGAAGATGCATCAAAGCAATGTCACTGTCTTTTGTTCGCTTATTGTAATGGGGATTTATGATAATTTGATCTATCTCTTGGTTGACTGTTTGTGGATATGATAAATTCAGTTGGGTATGCAATCCAAGATGTGCTTTCCACTGAGATGGATTTAAATTCCTTCTGGAGATTACAATGAATATTCTGAGTCAGAATCACCCATAGTTAATAACAAACCCAAGCAATCAGTGATTTATAATTTTTGTGCTTTTCCATTCTAAACCACACTGGCACAATGTACTCATGTGCAATTTGCATTCACAATATGGCTTGTGTTTTCCATGGATTATGTCCCATGTCCTTTTCATGTTGTTCACATTGCTGATTTTGTAAGGACTGGTGACAATATAAATTAGTGTTCCTCAATTTTTTGACAACTGGAACACAATTGAAGAGACACATTACCTTTACACTCAAAAAGATACATTTACATATTGTTGATCAGTTCCCAGGAAGAGCATAGGCTGATCAGGATAAGATAATTCAGTTTGTCTCTTGCTACCCTCCTCTTTGCCCATTCGGTTTGTATTGGATCTATACCTGCTGCACAATTCTACCATGCCTGTCACCTATGATGTGAATGGCATTATGGGGTATCTTTGTTTTCTCCATCAAAGTTGCAATTACACATTATACAAATTAATGCAATATTTTCATCATACTTGCATATGACAAGCAATGCAGATTAGTACACATTGATAATATTCATGCCTTATAAATAACCCCAAGTATGTCTGTTCTGTTTTAATAAATACACCAAAACATTGGGGCAATGCTTTCCTATTTACAAAGCTTTTCAAAATTTTGATTCATAAAACATTGTTTCTATTTTTAAAGACATGTGGATACATTTTGACTTTTTTTTTTTATCAAAAGTACTCGAACATAATCTTACTTATGCATGCTTGAGCATTGGGGCTCATAGTATTGGGAAGTGGGATATCAGTGCAGAAATGTGGAACTGCTCCAATATAGTTAAGATTTGAGGAAAGAGTGTGAAGGCCTACTTTCAGATCAGTCAATGGGGCAGGACTGTACTAGTGCACATTGGGATATATTAGTGCAAACCTGTTTGCTTGTTTATTTGCATTTTAATGATGGAAGGGGAAATTAAAGGTCAGTCAGTGATCATTGAGGAGAACTAGATGTTCTGTTCTACTTTAACTAGGGGGCCATTGCTGAAAACTGACAAATAGGAACGATTTGGATTCCCCTCTCACCACCCCTTATGTGGCTTTTGGTCTGGCTGTTATGCTGCATCTACCTTTATAAGATATGAGGTCACACCACTGGCAACACATTGGATGAGTAATGTGGATACTCAATTGACTCTAGATAAAATAGGAACACTTAGCCTAGTATAGCATATTTAATGAAGATAACTTTACATTAATCATTCTTTATTTGCTTACATCCTATACTGTAACTGTTGAAAGATGAGGCTACAAGTAAACTGAAGAATTGCCAATTTGGATTCCATTTCAGTGGCAAAGAGCTTTGAATATATTAAATACATTACAAGAAATTAGTTCACATTTTCATGTTATGTAGAAGGCTGTAGCAATTATAAATAAATGGATTTATTGCATCTGATGAATAGATGCAAAAAACAAAAATCCAACCGTTTAAGAGTATATAAAGCAGAATTTCCTTTTATCTCTGTAATCAATGCATTGAAGGAAGGTATAAATATTTTAAATTTTGAGGTGTTGTATATGCAGAGGTTTTAAAATCTTGCCTAGGCATGAGAAACCTGCAGATCAATCTGTATCCATGCACAGGTGGATTGAAGTCATTTGGAAGGAACAGCAGGGTATAAATGGCCTCTGCAGGAATGTGGGTTCAATGGGCTCATTGTACCCTTTTCTCTGCAGTCTCACACATCTGGTCGTACTTTAAAGAAGTCAGTGGGAAAACATTCAAACCCAGATTTGCACAGTAAATAAACCTCATATTCTTCTAACCTATTACTTTGGCTGGATAGAACAAAGGATTTGATAGAACAAGACTTCATGTATCAGAACCAACGTGGAGGGAAAGCAATCTCATAAGATCTACTGTTTTTTGAGAAGAAGGCAATGGCCACCAGTCAGGGCTGGGTGCAAAACAGTGGTTTTCCTTGGAGGGTGGAGCCAGGTTCAGAATTACGGTCTAAGAGCAGAGTTATACAGAACACTGCATTCCCAGGGGTGGGCTTCTGCTACTGCCTTCTCCTCTCTGGACTAACCATAAATAGAGCTTACTGCTGCAGTATGTGTGGGTGCTCCCACTACTTTCTGCTCCTACTATTCTGAGGAAGAGGCCCCTCTGCCTCAAATATTCATATTCTAGTAGTTAACAAACTTGAGACAGTACTTGCCACCTTCAGAGCAAAGGGACACACAGACCTGACACTCTCCGAGGCTACCTCACCCACAGGGACTTGCTCTGAGAAAAGATCACTCAGTCATTTATGCACCTGTGGTTCGGACAGCCCTTCAGGACTGACATTAGGCACTTTGATGAAAAACCTGGTTGCTGCAGTGCCTGTGGTGGTCTAGCTGGTGGGCTACTGGACAAGTGTTGGAAGCAGCTGTGGGTATGTGTGCTGGCAGCAGCATGGCATAGGCAAACCCTGTGGGTGCGGATGGTTGGGCACCTTCACAATCTGCCAGCCGAGCAAAGCAGCCCATGATGGCTCAGGACTGGTCCAGTCCTGCTTGAGGATGAAGCAAGTGACCTTGCTTCATCCCCATGAAAAACTGCAACATACGATCTACAGCTGGGAAAGGTGGTATTTTATTGTTGCTGTTCAGCAACTGAAAGTCAGAAATCCTCATCAATCTACCACAAATCATTCAGGGATCTACCATGGATTATTAACTTATTATCATTAACTTCCATCCACTCCTTTACTTTTGATTTCATGGGTGCAATATGTTTCCTATCCTACACATTGCCAAACTCAGCCTGCATTCAAAAAATAAAACAGCTTCTTTTTCTGCATATATAAGAGAGGTAATTGGAGATTTGTGGCATGTTGTAAAAGGCCAGATTACTTATTTAATATAACCCTGGGGAGTGCTGTCCTCTCTCAGTCTTACAGAAAAGGACTGCATAACCTTATTGTGACTGGGAGAACCTTATTTCACTCTATGCTCACTTCCTCGGTGCTCTAATATGACCATGCAGTTGCTTTTAATGCCACTTTAGCAACCACTTACATGTCCACCACAACCATTGACACCTCATTAACACATCACCCCATCTGGTTCCAGTCCAAGGGCGTAACTGCAAGAAAATGGAGCTATTGCTTTGCCTAAGCTCTGTGGCCAGGTAGAGTCTTGTTAAAGGAAATAGGTACCAACAGAAACTGTGCTAGAGGCATGAAATATAGATAAAACACCATGATACTCCTGGGAAGTTTGGAATTATGTTACATGAATATAGCTCAGCTGACACTAACACGTCATTAATAGCTCAATACATGTCATGTGGGAAATTGGGAACCTTGAATGGTGCTGCAGTTCTGTGTCATGCTTATCAACACAATATTATATATAAGTAGAGTAGATTAAAAGTTGCCAGGCAAATCTTCAGCACATTAATAAATCTGGATGGGAAAATAACATGGGCTATTGACATTCTTCAATCATCAGTTAACTTTTAGAAAATACCTTAGAAGACATTACATCCTACTATTTTGGTTTTGCATGGGGAAGAAGCATCAATTTTGTGTGAAACTGTGCTTTATTGTCTATTTCCTGTATAAGTGTTACATTCAAATGCATTGCCTAATAGCATGAGAATCAAAAAGACAGGCTCAGTGTTTATGGTGCATTTTCATTAGCGCTAAGCTAAGCTTCTTAACCAGTTTTATATGATTGATGAAACTGCATATTTTTGAGTTTGGAGATTCTGCAGTGTCAGACTCTTGGGCAAAGTTATCACATCCATGAAATAAGTTTAGGGTGGAATGAACCAGATCTTATTGTTATCTGTGAAAGGGCAGATCAGCACTGACAAAAACATTCTGAAGTAAACCGTGTGAGGAAAAAGAATGAAGCTTATAAACAGATCAAGGATTCAAGTTACCCATATACACAGTGTGCAGCTGAGACTAGCCATTCATTGCTGATAAGGGAAGCTCCACAAGTTGGCTTGGAATTGAAACTTAGTGAGACCATCCAAGGCCAAACGCCTTCTTGAGCATCAGAGCCACCAACAATTTTTGTGCTGTGTTTCCTGGGAATCAATCTTTCACCACAATCTGTGTGTAAAATAAAAGAAAAGGTTACAATTAAGAGCATGTCAGAAATAGATTTGGTGGCTGGCCTTCCTCTGTGATGGAGATTGGTTTAGGCTTCTCTTACAGATTTCTCATTCTTTTCTTGTTGCTTTTTAATGTCTTGGACTCACTAAATTAGTTATTTTAGACTCACATATTAGTTATTTATTTACAAGATTTATGTGCCACTTTGCATCCAATAAGATTTCCAAGTGTTAAACAATCAAAGAAGAAAACTGAATCAAAATACAAAACAAAATATTTAAAGATCAACTTATAGCAATACAACCCTGACTGGTCAATCAGGGGAGTCTTAATTAAATAAAAAAGACTTCAGTGGGAACCAAAACAATGTCAGTGCCCACCTGAGCAGTGTGTTCCACAGAGATGGTGCCAGTACAACAAAGGATGTATTCCAAGCGAACTCCAAGTAGATTGGAACCACCTTATTGGATGACTGCAGTGACTGCCCAGGTTGGGAAGGGAAAAGACCCTCTGCCAAATATCCTACACTATCTGCAGGTTCTGAATGAGCCTTAAGGAAAACCCCACACAAAACATGTTGTGATAATCTAGACTTAAGGTTGTTAGCTCCTGTACCACTGTGTTCAAGCTATTTCAAAATGGGGAAGGAGGTAGCTGGCATACAAGTCAAAACTGGTGGAAGTCACTCCAGTAATAGAGTTGGATCCAGGAGTACTACCACATTACGTACCTAAGCTTTCAGAGAATGTGCAAGCCTATTCAGAACAGGTAATAGTCTCATCTTCCAGACCAAGAGATGACTGCTCCCCAAGGTCTCTCTGTCTTACCAGGATTCAATTTCAGTTTATTGGCCCTAATCCAGCCCATCCACAAGTCTAAGCCGTTATCTAGGGCTTGTGCAGCCTCAAGTGATTCAGATGCTACAGGGAGACAGAACTGTATATCACCAGCATACAGATAGCCCTTTTCTCCAAATCCAGTAATGACCAGAAGTTTCACCCAGGGCCCAGTTTATGGAACCAGACCAGAAGGATATCATGGTTGATGACTTTAAAAACGCCATGAGAGACTGAGCAAAATTAACAGGCCTTGTACTTCTCCTGTCCTTCTCTCCATAAAGGTCATCTATCAGGACACACAGTTGATCTAGTCTTGTGACCAGGCTGAAACCCATATTGGAATGGTTCTAGCTTCTCCTTTATGTCCAGATATGATTTCTAGGATTACCAAGAACAATCTTTCTTGGGTGTATAGATGCAGGGAAGGCTGGTGATTCCTATGTAGAGGGAATCATTCTTTCAAGTTTTTCTTTTGAGCATTATTTATTTTATTTATTAAAACATTTTTATGCCTCCCTATTCGCCGAAGCCTCGGGGCGGCTCACACATTATATGCGTAGGAACTTTATAGGAGCTTTCCATGGTGCTAAACTTCATCCCCCTTCATCACCACAGGAACCATAGTTAACTTCTATAAACCTGCAATGGATGAGGGACCCCACTAACATAGGTGTTCCCAGTTTGCTGTGTACATATATCAAAACATATGTACATCTTGCTAGCTGTTCATAATAGTGAAAAGCCTTTCCTTTGGAGAATCCACATAATATGAGATGGGATACCTACTGGAAGCTCTGAAATATTATCTTATGTGGTCTGTTTCTTTCGGTGTCCTAAAATGAACCAAGAGAATACTTTTGGTTTCTGTTGTGTCTTGCCTATTCATGCTAAATGTGAAAAATACGCTGGGACATTTTGGGTGACCATAAAAAACATACCTGTTTAGGTCTTCTGTATTGAACTTTTTATTTTTCATGCACTTACGTTTATTGTTGCATTGCAGGTGTATCACCAGGTTACTGGAACAGTGTAGCCTAGAATGACAGAATGAATACATTTGTTTTTGTTGTTTATGGAGGAGGGGCAGTAAACCATTTTTTCTGTTCAAGGCAGCATTCATTGGGGCAGTGCTGAATCCAGCTGAGGGCAAAGGCCAGAGCCAGAGGTGAGTAGGAACACTCCTCTTCTCTCTCTCTTTCACCCATCTCCATTCTCCTTCCCTGTCCTGCTCCCCCCTTTTCTCTTCACCCAGCAGGATGCTCAGGGGAGGGACAGATTACTTTTGAAAGAGGTCTAAATAGATCACCCACAGAAGGCTTTTGACAACACTATGCAATGCCTGTTTTTCACAACTGACTTTCTTTAACTGTTGGAAGACTACAAGGTTATTAACATTTCACTTTTGCTTCAAATTGTTTTTTAAAAATCTGATCCTAGAGAGTCAGTAAAAAGTAAAACAAAGAAGCCTCTGCCAAACCCCACAAATTCATAACCATGTATCTGATGGAAGATGTGCATTTCAGTATACTCAGTAGTATTGCTTCTTTATATGTTCACATACCGATTTGCCACTAGAGATCAGTGTGGCCAAAGATTTCAAAATGTTAGCTTGATAGAAAGCAGAGCCCAATTTCAGATACAACTCTGTTTTTTCCAGGTCTACCATAGCTTTATCTAGAAGCTTCATAAATATTTGGCTAATAGAGAAGACAAATTCCAGTACAGCAAAAGACCAAAAATAAAAATTAGTGGTATATTTGTTGTCTAGCTGCTTGAAAAACCCATTAGCCTACATTCAGTCAAATGCTAGCACATCATGGATCTAGCCAAACATTATTATGTCATGGATGAATGATGACATATAAATACAGCATAATTGCTCAAAAGAGAAATAGAGCATTGTTCCCTTTCCATGGGTCATTTCTTTATTAATGGAGAGTGCCCAGTTTTATTTTCCCACTGGTACAGGAATCTTATGACCTTATCTTCAGCCTAGTGTTACTACAGTGGATGTTTGCTACACAGCTGAGTATTTGAACTTTTCTCAGTACAGTTAGCTGACTGTTTAATGGTGCACCATTTTGGTTCTGGTAGACTGAAGGCCTGACCAAGGATTCTAAGACCTCCATACCAGCAAATGCCATTTTTAAAGATAGTTTGCCTCGTATGCTCAGGATAGGTCTGAATCTCATGGTGACCATTTCATCTGAACATTTAGTAGAAAGGGGAAATGCCCATTGATGAATCCTTCTTTCTAATTCAGTTTTGCACAGGAGGGAAGCATTTGATGTTGAACACTTCCAAATAAATCATTCCCTAATCTATGAATTGGCACACTTCTCTGCCAGATTGTATCATACTGATATTTTGCTCATCTGCAGCCAGAAGAAATTCTCATGAACACAAATTCTCTTCAAAAAAATGGAGAGTTTATCTTTGTTTTAAATGATATGACATTCCGACTGCAAATTTGGTTTATGTAGCTGGCCACAAGCTGTTGACAATTTCTTGGTCATAAAATGTTAAAGGATCATGCATTGCATTTAAATAAAACATAAATGTATGCTAAATATAAGGTCAACTCCTCCTCCTCATCATCATCAAATGCTTACCTTGGTATTAATATTAAGCTACTATTGGCTGCTTTTTGAACTCCTATGAAAGGGCCAGTCCCATCAAATAGAAGAGGGAATGATGTATTTGCATTCCTACAAGGGAAAACAATTCTTGAGATACATTATTTCAAATAATAAAACATTCTAGAAGCAATAATAATTAAGACAAATATACATAATTATATAATGATATAGCAAATGGTTTTATTAAGTACTTTTCCTTTTCCAGTTCCTTTTTCATTTTCTCACTTCCTATCTCTCAGCTGAGGAATTCCCTTTTCATAGACACTTTTCACACAGTGTCTGACTTAGCACTCATATGAAGCAATGCAGAGGTTAAATGGAATGATCAGAATATAGTGCTCAGCAATTCCTGTGACCACAATGAAAACCAGCCACAAAATGGCAGCACTTGGAAAGAAATATTTCTACCACTGTGTTTTGCCTTTTCTGGATTGAGAATGCAAATTAACTTGTCAGAGAGAGAATCAGGTCAGTCAATTTTAAGAAATCAAGGGAATAAATCCACTTATTAAATCAGAGGCAAGAAAGGCAGAAATAGTAATTGCTTTTAGACTGTGCCCACAGCCTCAGTCTAGAAACTGAACTTATGTAAGTGGCTTCTGGGACCAAGTGCCTTGATCCAGCCATGGACATTTCACATATTTCAGTTGTTGGTATGTGCACTTCCTCATTCAGCAAATAAAGCATGCTTCTGCACTGGCTTTCCAGACCGAAGCAGAAGTGCATAGTTCTGTATGAAAGCAGACATTACCTTGTAACTCCATTCTAGTTTATCAATGCTAACATGCTTTAATTTGGCAAATAAGGATGGTGACCTTTAATTTTACCCACCACTGACTTAAGTCAAATCTAATCTTAGGAGTTTTACATGCAAGTTCAAACACTATTTGATCTGGAATGCTGTGGGAGAAATTCTCTGTAGGACCTCTCTACACATTGGGATAAAATCAGCAGAAGACCAGACTGCAGGTTGTAATATAATACAACAGAAGTTGCTGATTAATAGGCAGAATGTCTTGGAGGTTTAAAACAAGGACACTTAAAGGAAATGTGCAAATACTCATGCAGGATAATCCAACATTTAGCTGGAAGATGGACTAAAGACCCAAATGCCCCCCCGCCCCCCAGTTTATTTGATTTTATGATTGCCTTTGTTCTTGCCACTTTACAATAGTGTATGGAACCAGCAAGTTTGTGCAGGTATGTAAGGATCTGGCTGAGCAAATATAAGAGTAGAGTGTAGTGATCTTCCCTCACTATTTCAAGCAAAGGGGACACTGTATGCAGTTAACAGATGTACACACACTGGGCTAAAATTGGCCTTAGTTTCTTTTGCTCTTCTGAAAGTTTAACAAGCTGTTTCTCAAGTTGCTTTCAAGGAGGATGATGCTGAGCACACATAGTCCCTCTGATTTACTTCTCCAAGTCACTGTGGAAAGACCAGACATTTCCAATTTCATCTGTGGTTAGCCATTTTCCTCAGGAAAAGGGGAGATAGAAAGCAAATTCCTCTATAAATCTTGACTGAAAAAGTGAACTTCTTTCAAAGATTTCCCTTCTTCTGCTGGTGCTGCTGTTCAGTTTGGTTGGTTTCTTATTTAAGTGCTACTGAAATGGGACAGAAAAAGCTAATGTGGAGTGTTTGTAAGTTTTATTGGTTTTAGTAGGAGAGTTAAAATGCACAATATGGATAATCCCATGGGATTAGAAGTGACAATGTAACTCCTTTTGAAAATACAAAGGATTATGTTGTCATTGTCATTTTTCATGGTATCATCATCATCATCGCCATCATCCTCAATATCATTTCTACACTGCTTAATAGCCAAAGCTATCTGTGAAGTCTGCAACAGTTCAATACAAGTGCATATTTTTTTTTCAAAATACAAAAACGTACACATTTGTTAAAATGTTATTATTGTTGCTAGTAACTTTATTATTGCTGAGTACCTTCTGCATCATTGAGTAGCATTTTTAGGAAATACCATTACCCACTTCCAAAGACAGAAAAGAGAAAGGAGATGGAATGCCTGCTGATACTGGTTTTTAGAACTATTCAGCATTTGCTATACAAGCTTCAGTTATTTGTAATAAAACTTTTGGAACCTAATCTTCTGCCACAGACTCAAACATAAATCTGGTACATTATACTGTGCACACCCTTATTATTTCTCTTGCACTTCTGCTATTTCTTTCAAAGAAGTACACCTTCAGAAAGAGCCTTAGTGGAGAACTGACAAGAAAATATGGTATTTTTTTCACTAGAAATGACTCCTAACACTTTCAAATGTGTGCATTGAAAAACCTCATATCAGCACACTGCCTTTATAATGTTGGCTATACTTATGGCTGTGCACAATACAATATACAATTCACAAAGCATAAGCAATTGCCTTACTTACCATAGTCCCAACCAGTGGCACACACTGGTTGACAGTTGTTCGGTCCAACCATCTGCACAAGCTGTATGCCATTTATTGTCAACCTTGAACTGGACCAGCCCATTGATGCTGAGAGAACCATTGACTAAACGCACTATTAGCAAACATAATAGGAGTAAATATTGATTGTAAAACACAGATTGTGGGTCATTTCTACTTATTAAGAAGCAGTATAGGAACTTCCATTCTATGAAGGAAATATTGGCAAAGGGAGTATGGAATTTAGTACCACTTTTTGCTTCATTTCGGAAGCCTCCGTGGGCAAGGTGGGATTGGATTTGAACCAACATTATTTTTGCCATGTACCTTTCTTCTGCATCCCACCAGATATGTTTAACATACCACAGAGGACAAACTCCAGCTCCTCAGGTGGGGCAGCACCTGAAGGTGGTTTGATGAGCACCCGGACCTGGTTCATACTACCATGTTATTGGACAATAAGGGACCAACTAGAAAGACCAGCCCAGCATCCAGAGTACAGGCAAAGGAGGTCTCTCATCCCATGATTGAGGTCTAGATTTTATTTATTTATTTATTTATTTATTTATTTATTTATTTATTTAAAATGCTAAACCTTCTCATTTTTTTAAAACAAGACAGTGTGCAAAAGAATTAAAAACATTAAAACTAGGCAGCAGTACTTAATTTAAAATACAATAGATAATATTGTATTTTAGATTGTATATATTGTATATAATAGATTAGACTAACATTTTAAAAATGGCTCAGTAAAACGGTTTGGCCTAACTGTAACCCATTTTCAACATTTGGCAGAAATTATTATAAAACATTTCAGTGTGATTTTAACTCTCTCTCTCTCTCTCTCTCTCTCTCTCTCTCTCTCTCTGTGTGTGTGTGTGTGTGTGTGTGTGTGTGTGTGTGTGTGTGTTTAGTATGGATGTCATATATAACCTGCCTATCCAACACAGATTGAATCTCTGTTCCCTTCATTTCTTTCAGGTGCCTGGGAGCACTATTGTCTTGCCAGGATTAAGCTTCAATAATGAGTGCCTTTTCCAGTGTAAACTCGAATTTAGTTTCTGCCATAGGAATAAAGAAAACATTTTTCTCCTCCATCAAATAAGCAGGGTAAGTATTTTGCCTCTGGATCCATATTCAACTAATTATGAAGTCCAAGATCTCTGCCAAGACATGTCTAAAGGTTTCAGTACTAACAGTTATGATTTTTCTCACATCAGCCGAGGAAATATGATTCCAGATCTAAACATCCACCCACAGAAACATTTGTGTCAGACAGCACTTTGACTGTAAGAACACTTCCTTTTCTTTTCTTACAAGACCTCAGCATCATTTCCACGTATGTTCTGCATATAAATGATTGTGCAGAGACCATTATTTCTGTTTTATGTGAAATGGAGCTATGTATGGAACATTTAATTTTGGAAATAACTACCTCCACAGATGGTGCTATGACAACAGCTGTCATTGTTGTCAAAGTAACCCACATATGTGTTGTGAAACAGTTGAAATGCTATTCTCCACAGCTGTTTTATACTCCTGTCAAACAATTTTTTCAGACTTACTCTTGATCCTAAACTCATTTCCTTGAAGGCAGGCTGAAGAACTGAGCCCCAAGTATGTCTTTTGAGCACACACTGAAGTGGATAAATAGGAATTTGCACAGACAGGAACTTCAGAATTCCCATGTGTGTAAGAAGGCCCCACATCAGAATGAATACATCAAAGTTCAGGATATTCCTTCTTTAGTCCTCAACAGTTTCTTTTTTCATTCTAATAGAAATAGAGCTGCACAAGCATTCTAAACAAAGCCAGACTACATTGAAAAGATCATGCTCACTCTCTGAAACAGCCTAAAAATTCAGAAAGCACATGTGAATGTACACAGAGCCTGCAAGCACCAATGTACCTTTGAATTGTCACTTCATAGCCACTCTGCTGTAAGTCTTGTGTGTGTGTGTGCACTTTATGAGTGTTACCTGCACTTAGATCTCGATTCTTAGCCTGTGTAAACATTTCTGTTACTTCACATACACCAGTGCGTAGCCCAAACCCATGGAAACAGGATAGCTCATACTGCTAAAAGTTCACAAAAGCCCATCACTGGCAAGCAGGAGATGTGATTGTGGGGCAGAACATCCTTTCAACTGTATTTTGCCAACATTTGTCATCAAGATTGCTATGACCAGACCAGAGCTCACCTGAAGTTGTTTGATACTTTTTCATCATATTAGCTCGCACTCCTTGGCCTAAGGACTCTAAACTTCTATCATCTCTAAACTATGGGCCATCTAATTAGTGATCTATAGTCTAAGTAGACTGAAGAAAGGGTATCTTAGTTCTTCCTGTGTTTCTTTAATGCTTAAGGGATAGGAGGTGTTCTGCTACAGTAGACCAGGCAAGAGTTATTATGTCAACACCAAGCAAGAAATTACAATTGCTAATAAAAACAACAGCAACAACAAAACAAGAGCAGTAACAAAATGAAATGAAATGAAATGAAATGAAATGAAATGAACTGTGGGTTCAGATAGCATAGTAATCCACATTCAGGGGTAGAGGGTGGGTGCTTTTGAAAGTGTTGGCAGAACCCATCCAAGTTAATAAACCATGGTGAATCATGCACAGTTCACAACCCAACAACAAACCATGGGTTCTTGACATGGGTTGTTCATAGTTAACAAGCCCTGGCTTCTTAGCGTAGCTGAGTTAGGATAGCAGAACCCACAGTTCAACAACAACCCTCATTCAGCCCTTGTTGACGAACATTCAGCCCTTGGCTGGAATGATAATGCAAAGACGTTAAAATTGACAGTCTTCCTTGAAGATGTTCTGTATACTGTATCTGTTTGGCTATACTTTTTTCATAAATGTCACATGGATTTGAATAGGCTGTTGGTTTTTGATATATAGAATATTTACCACAGTCGACTTCGTCAGAATTATCTTTACAATGCTGTGATTGGTCACAAAGGAAAACCAGAGGTATGCATTCTCCACTTCCACATTGATAATAATTGGGTTTGCAAGGATCTGTGAAATTGAAAGGCATAACAAACAAACAAGAGGAAACCAAAAACTAAATAATATATTTATTATAGGGCATGATGGATGTAGCATTTATATAATAACCCGGACTGACAGTTTACTCAGGACAAGAGTCTTAAGATCTCTCATCATTGCCTCCACTTGTGGGCAGAAGCCAGTAAGCAAATATGCAAGGTCAGGTAAACAAGCTGGAAAGGAAGAACTGGGTGCCAGGCCCTGGTCAGGGGCAGAACCACGCCTATCCTTGATGCCAGCCTAGCTGTTTTCTTCTGGGCCCCTTTCCTTTTGGGAAATGAGGCCTATGTTTGTGATGCAAACACACAATGTTTGCAATGGTGTGATACACAGAGTTACAGTGTGAATACAACAGGAGGATAAGAATCCTTCTGGTCCTTCTTTGGTGCAAATCATCCCTTCCCAAGGCTGCTTTGGAGCATAGAATTGGCTGTTGATCTAATGCTAGAGTAATTGAAAGCTGGTGTGCCATGTGCAAAATAGCTCAAGAGAGGCTCTGAGAAAGATCTACATGGTGAACAACAAACCAAGAAATATTTCTTCAATGTTTCATGTGCCATACATTGTTTTACACTGTAGACATTGTTTATTGTTACTCTGAAACTCACCTGGCATCCCTAGATTGTAGCCTGTAGTAAAATTGGCTACAAATCCTTTACTAGTTCCAGACTTGTCAGTAATGAAGAGCACAGTCATCTGGTGGGTTGTAGAGAATATATCTGGCACTGGGAATCTTCCTGTATAGACAGCTAATCACAAAGATAAAACAGAAATATATTTTAGACTTAGCACAAACTATTTCTGCTTGTAAAATTGGTGAAGTGTTGTTTTAAAATTTAAAATCAAAATTAGGACATGCCCCCTCAAGAAATGTTTATGGATAGGAAAACAGTAATTTTCCAGTAATTTGAATATATTCAAACCTATTGTTGAATATATTAAATATTTTGACATAAGCTAAACTTTAAATATGTTCTATCTTTAAATTTGTATTTATCTACAGATGGTGCTGAATTTACATGTTTTACAGTTATGACTTGGTGGAATTTCCCTGGAATAGAGCCAGGCTTTAAGCTCTATCAACGGATCTGGTCCCAACAAATTGTGTATTCACCACTAGGACTTGCCTTGTGACCATTGGCAGGGTGGGTATGTTCTAATATATCTGTGAATAGTGGCATGAAACCCTTGTGTACTCACACAATTCCACTATTCCACAGTACTGCCTGTTTTTTCATTCCTCATAACTCTCTGGCTGTTGCCCTATCATTCCAAAATTATGCAAGTTTCTTGCACAGAAACACTTGTGCATTCATATCATTTTTATACAAATCCTCCATCCTGCCCCCAATTATAGATGGCAAAAGAAGAAGGGGACGGCAGAGGATGAGGTGGCTAGATGGAGTCACTGAAGCAGTTGGTGTGAGCTTAAGTGTACTCCAGGGGATGGTGGAGGACAGGAAGGCCTGGAGGATTGTTGTCCATGGGGTCGCAATGGGTTCGACACGATTTCGCGACTAACAACAACAACAACAACAACTGCACCTTGTGATATTCTTTTCTAGTTTGAACCACTTCTGTACTATAAGCCATGTTCATAGCAATTACACATGACAAGTGCAGGCATCCTTTTTGCGGGGGGGCATGGGGGTCAAATGTAAAGGCTAATCTTGTGCAAAATCTCTGAACTTATTTATTTGCAACTGGATAAGTTGATTCCCTCAGAAGAGGAAACCATGCCTGAAGATTTTATGGAATTCTTCCAACAAATAACACAATGGCATTGACCTGCAACTTGCTTTAAAAAATGCAAAGACATGTATAATAACCCACACTTGACAGGTTTCATCCCAGAAGGACCTATACCTTTAATCTAGTTTTGTTGATTTCCAATTACTGTTTCATGTTGTATTTAATTGCTTAATTGATTTATTGTATGTATTTCCTGTATGCATCAACGTAGTTCACACAATAAAACAAATTTAAACCTTTAAAAAGAAATTCACCGTAATAAAAATCTGAAATCCAATTGCCTAGGGGAAGATTTATCTTTTTCTCCAATGTTGAAAAGTAATTGTGGCTGAGCCTCTTTCAAGGCATCAGTCTCTTGATTGACATCCTCTTTCAAGACAGTCCTTGTCTCTTGACATCCTCTTTTTCTCACATTCAATTTCCAAATTGAGAGCCATCCTCAGAACTGATCTGAGATGAAGCAAGCCGTTTTCTGAATTGTGGTGCCAAATGAATCTTCATCCCTTCTCTAATTTGGGAAAAACACCCTTTCAGAGGCTAGAAAGGATATCCGAATTTATTTATTTATTCATTTGAGACATTTATATCCCACATTTTTCCACCATTGATGGGTTCCTAGATGTTCCTCCACTATGTACTGGCCAGACCCAAGCTTGTTTAGCTTTAAATTGCAAATAATCAGTTCAGAGGTAAAATGCACACAATTCTAATTCTATATGATTTATCAAATAAATCAGCCGATTATGCTCACCTAAAAATAAAGAATCAGCTCCTTTGCCATCTCTTATTTCTACAACATCATAAATATTTTCCAAATTAAAATACTGGAAATGAAGTTGGATATTTTTTCCTTTTTCTGCATTTAAATACCAGACACCTAGAAAATAAAATTCAAGAAAAATAATGAAACTATTCATTTTTTGAGTACTAATTTATCAGCATATTTTTAAGAAGAGGTAGGAGCAACACTTGTGCAAAGAGAGGGGTATTTTTCATAGATTTCGCTTTCAGTCAGAGAATGAAAGATGTTTAAACTTCACTAGGGATGGTGACAACAAGGAGAAGGGCCCTTTCAGTGGTGGACTTTCCATCCCAGCTATGGAATGAACTTGTCTAATAAAGCTTGGTAGTTTACTGTCTACTACTTGTGGCAGTAAATTACATAGCTTAATTATGTATTGTAGGATACAACAACTATGTGTTGTATCTTGCTCTGAATCCTCTACCATGCAACATCTCTGGATAAGCCTGGAATCTAGTATTATGAGACAGGGGAAAGTTTGTATTTTCTCTAACTTAGATAAAATTTTGTATATCTGGATCAAGTCTCCTTTAGCCCCCGCCCCCCGGTAGTGTCACCTTCTGTCATAAGGGACTAGTCACAGTCTCTTAATTGCTTTAGTTGCTAATTTGGGCACTTTTTCCAGCTCTACAATATCCCTTTTGACCAGAATTCTATACATTATTTCAAGACTGATTGTGCCATAAATTGTATAAAGGCATTGTGATACTGGCATGATTTTCTGATTCTTTTCTTAAGGTTCTTTAATATGCATCATTAGCAGCCAATGATAAACAGCTTGCTGACATTAACAAACATGGCCACTTCACTGTTCACCTTCAATTCTTACTCATTTATGAAAAAGTTAAAAACCAACAGCTACAGTACCAATCTTTTATATTGTATAATATAATATAAAATTTAATATATACTGTCATTAAAATACTGTTTTTATTTGAGTACTTTAAAAACTCTCCAATGGATAGCATTGTTCTGTTTTCAATTTATCACCAAGACCTAGAATTTCATTTTTTTAAACCATTCTTTGGTTCAAATCCTAAGATTCTCTTCCAGAAATTATCATCTGTCTTAAATCTTCTGTGGTGGATACAGAACCAAAGAAGCCATTCGACTTTTTTGCAGTCTCCTTATCATCCTTTGGAATCCCTTCAACACATTTGTCATTGAGTGGTCCAACTTCCTCCCCTAGGCAGTTACTTGTTTTTCAATTTTTGGAGTTAATGTTAGTGATGACAAAATCCTCTCAAAATCCTTTTGAACATCCCATGTCTGCTTGCATTTCTTTTGTGTATGTTTGCTTTTCTATTTGTACTCCTGGTTACAGAAATACTTCCATTTTCTGAAGAAAGCTTTATTTTTTCATCCTTGATGCTGGTAACTTCCTGAGATTAGTTATACCTGCCCTGAACGTGTGTGTGTGTGTGTGTGTGTGTGTGTGTGTGTGTGTTTTCAGTCTAATACCCTTTTACATTTTTGAGACATATTACTTACAAGAGGCTTTGTTTGGGTATTTGTTGGGAAAGTTTGGTGAATTAAAAGTCGTGTTTGGCTCCCACAGATCAAATGGCCCTCCACAGTCAGCTGAAATGAGAAAAATTCAGAACTGAGTATCCTCTTTTTTATACAATCATTTTTACTTGGATTGAAAAAAATAGAAGCAGTATTTCAGTCCTGATCACAGCACAATGCTCTTTGATTATCAGACTAGTAAGCACTATTTTGTCCCATTTTTACCAGACGACTCCTCTCTAGCACTGAGGATTCCCCATTCATACCCCATCTACCTATTCATTCATTCTGAAGAAGGGCTTATTCCCATACAAGTAAAAGTAGTTTTCAGATGTTTCTTGAAATAGTAGTAATTTTACTGTTCTAGCTGTAAGCCATAAAACTGAAGAAACACTCATTGCTCTCAAATTCCTGGCAAGCGGAGCAAATAAGACATGTAGAAGGTAGCATCTTTTTCATTATCAAACAAAGTAACTAGGGATACAATCGTATGGTCTGCCATCATTTTCTGGAGAATAAGTCAGAGTCCCAGCTCTGATCCTACAAAATAGCTGGGAATATAACTTGGGAAGACCCTCCCTCTTCCTGTGCAGTCAGGACAGTTCTTTCCATGGCAGCTGGGGCCAAAGACATGTGGAGCTGGTGTAGAGGCAGCTCCAGGGGATGCACCAAGACACTTCTGTCCTTCAAAGAATCCTGAGGCTGTCACAAGAGGGGGGAAACTCGGAGTGTGGTGACTAGGGGAAGGGCCCTGTCATTAGAACAATCCCCCTGATGAAGATCTTCTGACACCAAATTTGCCATCTTTTTGGTGCCAGGTTAAGGTGGCTTCTTTGTGGAAACCTTTAAAGACCTCCCTGGTCAGGGCCCTGACATAATTGGTTGCGTACTTTTTTTTAATTCTTGGCCAGATCTTTTTATCATCTTTTATGTTGTTTATCGTATTTTAAATTTGTTTTTATTCTTGTTAATGTTTTAATCTATTTTATTGTTTGTATACTTTATTTTAAACCACACAGAAAGCTTTAGCTATGACAAATATAGACACTAAATAAATAAATATTATAACAACTTTAAATAAGTAAATATTATAACAACTTTCTAATTCATAGTGTGCACAAAGGAGACACTTTGAAAGATTCTTTTAAAAATTCAGGTAGAAGTTAGGAAGCACAAAAGTTAATGGATTTATTTTAATAGTTCCAATGGTTCTAAAGAAAACTTGGGGAAAGGAAACCAATGTCATGAACACTAATGTGCTTGGCAAAATTACCACCCTCCCTAATATCTGTATATTAACTAGGAGGATCCTTCTTAAATAATGAAAAGCTAAGTTTTTGAATAAAGCATAATTTTACCTTGTACAGTTCACTAAGTAAGATGTCTTTTATTCTCGGTCTAATAAGATATATTAGTGGCTGTCTAGGTCCAGATGGACTGAAGAGGCACTTACAGGATCTGCTATCACAGTTGTAATGATACCATTAAATCTAATGATAATTTGACTAGTCTGTGTGGAAAAGATCTTTTATTGTAATATTACTTCATGCATCTCCATTATACTGGGTTAGTTTACATAGTAGTCACAGCTTGAGGACATGCATGTACTAGAGAAAAGTTGAGAGCTCCTCTATATTTATACAAAGGTACCATTTTTGGAATGTCTCCCCTAATAACCCACCAGGGGCAAGCCAAAATGTTTTGATGCTTCAGCGGTTGTTGCTAAAGACCAGAATGAGCAACAGCACAACAGATAGTTTGTGCATCTGACAGTTTCAAAATAATTTGCTTTCTTTAGGAAAAGCTGAAATCAGGAAACAGGTGAATTTGTACATGTCACATTGCAAATAAGAGAGCTTTTGTTTTTTTTTTGTATTTAGAAAGAAACTTTGTTGAATATTTATATTGGTTAGAGCAGTGTGAAAATGGCCTTTTGAAATTCTTATTGGAGGATCACTATTGCCAGGGCTGTAACACAGGCTTTTTTCCAAAGGGTTTTGGCTTTTTGTGCTGCCACTGCAAATGGCAATGGTATCAACTGTCTGGGCAGGCTGAATGAAATCCACTGGACTACATCCCTCTAAATTCATGGACTCCCTTTTGCCTGGCCTGGGCTTGCAAAGCAAGTCGTGCTGAGAGAAAGCCTGTGGGCTCTCACAGAACAAGAGCTGTGCAACTGGCAACCTTCTTCTGTGTCAGGTACAGCCGCACAAGGGCTGCTGCAGGTAGGGTAGAAGAGGGATGCTCTTGGGCAGGGGTCACATGGGGTTCCATTCCTCACAAGCCTGTGTGACCAGTGCCCAAGCAGTATCCTCTTCCATATCAGATGCAGCACGTGCGCGTGCGTGCGCGCGCGCACACACACACACACACACACACACACACACACACACAGTTTACATTTTCTGCTTAAACATGTGAGAAGAGGGAACACTCTATCCTTGTTCTTTCCATTGATGCGCTAACTATTCTGAATGCATGGAGCATGGCTATTTATCAAGACTTTCCTTGTGACCTAAAAATACAGAAAGTCACCCTCAATGCATTCCCCTTCCTTGCATGTTTAAACAGCATACTTTTCAGAACACCTGCAAAGCGGTAGTGAGCACTCAGACATTCTTCAGATAGTCTGCCCTGAGAGTCATCTGAGCTATGTACTTTTTTTATTCTTCTTTTATTTTCTAAGTTCGTTTTTATATTCCAGAAATTTCTTGAGGATGTTATACTCAAAGGAGACTTCTGTGGCTCTACTGCAAAATCAGCCAGCCTCATTCACTGATTTCTACATATTATCATCCATTCATAGTCACCCCTTATTTCACATCACTGCTTTCACCCTCATCCTTAACACAGAACATAAATTAAATAGGAAAATATGTAATAGCATTGACTGGTAGCACTAGAAGATGTCTGCCTGAAAGTACCACCTGGAAGCATTTGCTTTTGTTGATGGAGTGCTCTTTGTTCCTGAGCAGTAGCTGTAATTTAATCCCTCTCAGACAGACATTAAGATTTATTTAGTTTCTGACTATTTCCTGAAGATTCTGTTTGTTTGCTTTCTGTTGTTAACTCTTCCCACTGATTCTGTAGCCTTTAACGCTCTATTTTATAAGGCAGCATATCTCAACTGTGGGCCAAAACGTTGTTTCATGTGGATTGCGCTGTCCCCAGCTGCCCCCTTGTGTTCCATCAGACAAAAGTTAGGTGTGTTTCCACATGCCAGCATTTGCCTCTCTTGTTTTGTCCCCATAGTTGCACTAGAAGATGTAAAGGAGGTAGAGATGTCAGGGAAAGGATTTGGGAAGTGAAGGGAACAAGATGGAATGAGCGAGTGGAGATATACCATCAACTAACTGAGCATGGATAACCTACCAGCCTTGGTCACTTCCTCTTGTTCCTGTGTTGCTCTAGATAGAAGAGGGATGCTACCACCAGCAGCAGTCAGCATAGCATGGATTTAAAGAATTATTGGTCAGACTCCACAAGGATTAGAAGTATGGATGGAGTATAGGGAGAATAAATGTGGTGTAGTAGTTAAAGTGTTGGACTGGGAGCCAGTCTGTACTTATCCATGAAGCTCACAGGGTGATCTCAGGCTAACCAGTTAAGAGGTCTATTGTGAAGATGAGATGGACAGGAAGAATGATACTTAAGTTGTTTGTTTGCTTGCTTGACGCAGAAAAAAGGTAATGGTACTAATAATACAGAACAATGTTATTGGGTTATTTCTGGGTGCATTCTTTATGTTGTCTTTCTTAAGATGGGTCTTGACTATAGTTTGTGCCCTACTACAGGATCTTGCTACATTTATATAATTAGAAAAAAAAGATATTGACAAATGGAAATGAAATGAATCATTGACTTGCTATCCTGTGAAATACCCATGGTATGTGCATGCTGTAGACAATGTTATTCTCCTCTTGTATTAAATTTTCATTCTACCCAGGCTCCAAGTAGTCCATCGTGGTATACTTAGGTTTTTCACCATTTTATACAATATTATATGGCAGGTTAGGTTGTGAGTCATTGAGAGACCTACAATCAGTTACTACACTTGGTTGTTAAGCAAGGATTATTCCCATTTGAAGCACAGTCCAAAGCCAACATTCTAGCTTTTATATATGTTGACTGTTGAATGCCTAGAGTACTGGTGTCTGTACTCTAAACCACTGAGAATCTTCTGGATCTGTCCCAGTATTCTCTGCCTAGAAACTTGTTTCCTATCAGAAATTGCTCTCCATGTATTGAGACAAATGGTATTAACTGCACTGTATTCATAAAAGCAAACACCAATTTGACCTAACAGAACTTTTTTTTTCTTGAAGCTCTAGGCAAAATTTGGACCAAAGGCCCATGAATCAATTTTCACTTGGATTTTTTCATCTATAAACTGTCAGGTTTATAGGAACTTTTTCTACTTTTTCAGTGATGGCCAATCTGTATGGTTTTCTAGTTGATTGAACTACCATGTCCAGAAATATCAAAAGATGTGCAACAGAAAGAAACTGCACTTCGAGTGACATAAATTTAATGGAGACATTGATAGAATTAGAGCCATGGGAAAAGCTCCAGTGAAATCAATTTTCTATAGATATCCATCAGTGACATTTTGTTTTGGAACTTGTTTCAGTGCTGTTTTGGAGACTAGATGGAATAATATGGTGTGTTTGTGTGTGTCTGTGTGTATTTGTATGAAAGATGCAGAGAAATTTAATGATTTAAACAGAATGACTGGTGAAAACTGTACAGCCTGAGAATGCTTTGGACCCGATCTATACCTAAGATTTTTATTCATTCAATGACAAAAAATAATGTAGAAATGTTGGTATAATATAATTTAAAGATTGCTCATAGTCTCTTTTATGCCATTAGTCTGATTTCCACATCAGTTTTATATTTTTACTGAAATTGCAATAAGCAGATCCAAAAGTAGATTGAAGAGTAAGAAAATTGCAGATAAGATACAGTATATATGCAAAGTAATGCAAGTAAGGACAAAAAAGCCAGTGATAAATACATAACTGCTGACCAAGCCTTCACTGTATTTGAATATCTGAAAAAGAGATCTTGGACCTATAGGATCCAGATCACTGAAGCTGAACACTGTTCAGGGCTAGTGTTTCTTTAATACATGCTATATTTATTTTTTCTTCAGAAAGATGTCTGGCCTGATTAATTTTCTCTCAATTTTGTTCTGTATTTATACTCCTATATGGAGAAGGGAAATGGAAAATCTCTGAGCTGGGATCAATCTGTACTTCCCCCTTCTTTCCTCCCACCTTCAAATGAAGTTTAGTTTGGCCATCTGTGTTAAAAATTATATGAAAGTTTCTGAAAGTAGCAAGAGAGGTAATTCCATGTAGAAACATTTAAAATTGTCAGAATACTTAAAGTCTAATCTTATAGTTACCCTATCTCAAAACAGTAATTGTAGATTTAGCACAGAAAAGTACAGTGGAAGTGGTCAAGTGGTTGGACAGCATCTTTTGAGGAAAGACAAAAGCATACTTAGAATACTTAGTTTGGAACTAGGGTAGGGAGGACATAACAGGATAATATTCAGCACAATAATAGTTGTAAATAAAACACTAAAGAATCCAAAGAAGTGGGGGTTCATTCTGCCTTATTCATGGAAGTGTATAGGGCTGGGGGAATTGTCTTCCACTTTTTGTCATTCTTTTTCCCCCTACCACTTCTTCCATTCTTTTGTTCTTACTGGAAAAAAAATCTGGGTGGGGGAGAGGGGAATTGGGAATTGCTGCAAATTGCCTTTGAACCATAGTCTAGTAGCCTCCTGTATGGAAGTACCCAAGGACAGAGTTTTTAAGTGTATTAGTAATACTGTAAAAATGGAAAGTTTTATAAGGCCTCAATATGAGGATTCAAACTCATTGAAATCAGTGGAAGTTTTGCCATTCTTTTCAGTGAATGCTGGATTACAGCCAATATCCGTTGGAATAGGATAGGATGGGTTTAGGTTCTTTGGTCTGTTGTTTATAGCTGGGCAAGTTTAATCATTTTAGTAGCATTATAAAAATGTGACAAGTTGAATGATTGAATCTGATAGTGTTCAAGATTTCTGATAGGTCTACAGAGAAAACAATTTTCAGCATGCTTTAGCTGCAGAAGGAAGATAATAAAACTAGACATATTAGCTTTCTTTTCCTGGCCTGGGTTAGTGTAGAATATGCTATTATTTTGTTATGCAAACCTACTGATCCTGTCTCGGAACCTCATTATCTGTTCTATGACCGTATACTTCTGACCTTTTATCCTTTCTAGCTTTACTGCTATTGGCCAATTTATTGGACATTTATAAGATACAACTTAGCTTTCCCCCTAAAATTGATAGAGATTACTCATGTGCTTCATCAGCTCTATGTCTTTCAGCATCTAATACAACAATGGCAGCAAACAGGAAAACTGATGAATTTAATTAAGGCATCATCAGTTTATTGCATAAGTCATATCCTATCAATGCTCTCATTTGGACCTTCACATAACACAATTAATGCAAGCTCACTGGGATTTTACATCAGTGATGACCTGCAAAATGATGCCATGTATCAATTTGAATTAGTTTGTGACGTTAGTAGCTAATCTGAATTTAAGCAGGTTACAATGAACTTCTGGTGCATCAGAATAGTTTAAAAATTGCCTTAACATTGCATATACACAGGAGTGTCAATATAACCACTAGTTCAGTGATTTGGAACTGTTTTTTGATGAGATGGTGGTCACAAGTAAATGTTCCATATCAATTGTTTTCGCTTCCTTGACCCACACATCATCTACCCTGCAAGGGTATGGAAGACTAGCAGAGGACTGGCTAGCTGTAGAGTCCCTTAGTTAAATATTAAACTTAATGGAATGGCAGAGCTTTATAACTCTTTTCACAGAGTAACTGAACTGGAGAGCAGACATGGAGAAAGTTATAGCGCAGGAACCCTGGTGGCATTCCTATCTCTCTGGTGTTGGGTGTTGGGCCATTGCATTCCCTGCCACTGCTTGTTGTAGCAAGCAGACACTGGGAAAAGTTAGGGTAGGATATTTTAGGAATGTCAAGTGAGAGAATGCTAGACTTCTAGTTTTGATGTATTCTTCTGCCATTGGCACCTGATTGAGGCAGGCAAATGGTGTCTCCACAGGAAATTTCAGTAGTATTCCAGTAGATAGTGGAAACTTTTTGTGAACACAGAAAACAGTATTCATACTTACTGGGTAGTAACGGGGTTGTAGGGACTGTAGGGACCAAGGTAGGTTCTGGATAAACACTTTCTATGCAGTGTCCATTTATCAGTCCTATATCATCAATGGCGATATCATTCTGTCCCCATACTTTAAAGGCATCAAATGCAACCTGGGAGGAAGTACAAGAATGACATTCAGCCCTTCACATTGAATGTAATGGTTGATGCAGACAGGCTAGCCTGGGAGGACAGGAAGAAGGAACTCATAGAATCATAGAATAGTAGAGTTGGAAGTGTCTAGACCACCTGCTCAGTGCAGAATACCAAGTTGAGATGGCTGTCCAGTTGCATCTTGAATGCCTCTAGTGTGGCATTCTAGCCCACAACTTCCCTAGGTAATCAGTTCCATTGTCATATGACATTCATATGACATTATAAGAATTATTGCTAGATTATTGGTAGCGCACCTTTCTATTAGGTCAGAATACTATGGGTGTTTATCCAGAATAAAGTCCTAAAACATTCCTCAATAGGCATGAGAAATCAGCTGTCTAAGAGTTTTTGAGGGCAGGAGATGTGTTGAGGCAATTCTTGTTTCTGAGTGCCTTCCACCCTCTATTGGTTGTCGATAAACCTCTGAGTTTTGGGATTAAGGTAAGCCACATTAGATGACCTCCTAAGCCATTCTGAAGAAATGCAAAGCTTGCACACTCTTCTAGCATTTGGGGTGGGAAGGTGTGTGGGAAGGTGTGTGGCAAGAAGGATTATTGCAAACACTGGCTCAATAGACTGTGTGCATAAGCCTTGCATGAGTAGACTTATCACATGAACAGAGACCCTGGCTTTAGCAAGTTTCTTGATCATGTGGTGAGCAATATGTGGCCAATACATTTTTGCTTAAATGTGCATGTGCTAACTTGTATTTGCAAATTGAGAAATCATTGGTATAATATAAATGGCAATATAATACATCTAGTTACTGTGGGGAAGACTTTGGCCACTGGGAATCTGTGGCCAAAGTCAGAAAATCTGCTATGATGTGCTGTTGATGCACACATTCAAGACTCTTGTTCTCCCTTCTTACAATTTTCTGCCATTAAACTTTTCTTGGACCAGTCAGCCCTTCAAATTGTAGACACTTAATTTGTAAATTAAGAGATTCTAGATTAAGCAAGGCTTCTGTATATGTGGACATGTGCTGATATGGCTAATTTATGCACTATGAACACACACTTAGTCTATTGGATGCACAATATCAGGTTTAGGCCCTTGTTCTGTCTCCTACCCGTTGCATTTTCTCAACCTACTTGTGCTATATATAAGCTTAGCAAACCTGGAACAGATTAATACTTGCTTCTGGGAACAGATGGTTAATTTCACTCTAGATTTTTGCAGACTGTAATTAAACACCTGCTCATTACCAGACTGTCTATATTTACAGAATTCACATTTCATAAAAGAGAGAATAATGCTGTGGTTCTTCTTAGTTACAACTACTGTAAACTACAACCACAGTAAAATATGTAGCAACACAGGATTACATCATATACAGAATACTGACTGGATGACTCTTAGATGCATGTTCATTATGAACACCTTGATTAGCCTATCAGCACATTACACAATACAGTACTGTGAGCAAACCAATAACAATACCCAGAAGTAGAATATAGGAGATTACTTTTATCAATTACATAGTCTACAGTACTGTATACCTGGGATTAGGTCCTGCTGAAGTTGAGGGCCATGTATCCATGTACACATGTAGAGGATTGCACTCTTTCAGTGCAGTCTGATACATGTCTAGTTGAGTTCAACACAACTTCTAAAGGCAATAAATACTTCTTACATTTTAGCAAGTATAAATATGAAACAGCCACATATGTGATCTTTAACTGGCTTTACGAAGAGTTCTACATCCACTAAAATGAATGATTACACATTCAGGTTCTTAGTACAATTTTAGTTGTACTTAGTGTTTACTGTTGCAACATTGTTAGTTAAAAGTTTTCTACCATAATGATTGGAAGCTGACATATTATTGGTGTAAAACAAATAGGTCAAATCCATTTTTCAGTACTGAAGGAACGGTTCTCTGAAAAATGTCTGATGACTCATCAGCTATTTTTGGCCAATAATTTGTAAACCAGACATATGCAAACCCATTGAAAACCAAGTTCAACAACATGAGTGCATAACTAAGTGCTTCAATTGCCATTTAAGAATCTAAAGGCTTCTTGGGAATGTCCCAAAAGAAGAAGGATTAATATCTAGGGAATGTAAGTGAATTTCATTAGTAGAAATAGTTAATTCTCCAGCTGCAGGTTTTAACCAGTTGACAAAACTGATCGGTTCCCATGTAATAAAGACAAAGAGCAGTTCCAATGTAATATTACAATTTCAGTTGCCCAAAAATATAACAACAAAAAACCAAAGGCAAAAATCAGAACACAAAACAAACAAACAACCACGCCAAACCCTTCTGCTCATGTAACCTAGTATCATGTGCTGCAATCACTTTTTGATTATCATAAGGAAGACTAAAAGACTAAAAGACTATTTTTGCAGATGTGACTATTACAATAGAAATTCAGAAAAATGTTAGAAAATGAAATAGAAAGAGACTTAACTAAGATCTCTATTTGACTTACTTTAAAGTTAGATGATTCATTTAATAGTATTTGGCCATAATTCCAGTTGTTTCCATAATTTCCTTCCTTCTCAAAAACTGTCTTTTCAGTGTTATTATCATATGTGATTTTAATGCTCAAACGATACACATGTATACCATACATGTGATACCTGGATGGAAAATAAAACATAATTACAAATTCTACCTATTGGCTAAGGGACTGCAGGTGGCACAGTGGTTTAAACCACTGTGCTGCTGGACAGATAGATCAAAAGGTCGCCGGTTCAAATCTGCACAACGGGGTGAGTTCCCGTTGCTCTAATAGAATAATCTATTGGTTATTCCATCAAATATTCTAGTCAATCAAACAGAAATCCTCCTGACTTACAGCAGTGGCCTGTATTCTTACGCAGAAGAAAAGCCCACCTGGTGAGCTTGCTTTGCAGGGTCATGTGTCATTTGCCAAATTGCCCCCATTGTCCTCAGTGGGGCAGTCCCTGACCATGTAAATTTTCATGTGCAGTTCAACCCCCTCCCTCACCTCCAGGCTTTGGAGTGTGACTACTCATGGATCTAAATTCTAGCAGGGAAAGGGTTCTTATAATATATTTAGGTGTTAGGAATGGAAACAGCAGTAAATATTAAAAAGGCAGCTGCAACAAAGTATTGCAGGATGGAATGCTCCTATTCAAGGTTTTCAGCCATCAAGTCATAGTCCTTTTTAGGATATTCCATTTCAATTCCACTTTCTCCTGATTTTCATATTTTCTTCTCTGCAGTAGTTAGCCACCGTTTGATGAACATGTTCAATCCTCACAATGTTTGAATCCTTCCTTGCCCTTGCCCTGTTTCTGTACTTATGCAAACATCTTGGAAAAATACTGAAGTTGCTACCACCTCTTGTGTATGAATGGTATCATTCTGGCTACAAAAGGTAGAACAAAGGTTGTCAAATAGAACAGTTCATATAGCATACATAATATATTTAGTATACCAGAAACTGAGGCAGAACACATTTGAAGCAGGCACTAAGGGTAAGCTGATAAGTCGGATTCTCAGTGGGATGCTTCCAGCCATCATGGGTGTGGAAATATAATAACCTGCAAATGAATAAATAGATAGATAGATAAATAAATAAATAAATAAATAAATATACAAACCAACACATTGTGTGTCTGTGTGTGTCTGATGAAGTATTAACTGGTAGTATCTTTTTCTGCAAACTACTTCAGAAGTACATTTAATATATCTCATATATCAGATATTTATGCTACCCTACAAATAGACAAAGGAGCAGGAGCAGGAGAAGTCGTTTGATGATGGTTGCAGGCAGGAAAGCTAGATGGATAAATTCAGCTGTGATTTAACTGTAATGAAATTCATGTTGAAATAAGCCATATATTTGATGGGTAAACAGAGCTTCTTGCTTATCAGGGAGTTGAAATTTGTGAGAGCACATAGGTCTGGCAGCTGGGAGAAGAGGGGACTATAAGAAGTAGCTCTGTAGCCCTGTGCAGGACAACAGAGTGCACTTGAGGAGCCCTGCTTTTTCTTGCTCTGTGCAGCCTAAGGCCTACCTATGTAAATAGATCTCCACCAAGTTTCCCATCTGCCCATGTCTGGTAGCAATAACTACAAGTGGACTGCTTCTTGGTTATTGGGGCTGGAAAGGTGTTTTACCTGGATCCCAGCTGACAATAGGGAAAAGTGTTCCTGCCTTCCCCTTTTGCAAAATTATATCTATTGTAAATAAGTTGACTTGTACTATAAAGAAATCCTTTGAGGATCCTTCAGGGCGTGATGTTTCATCCCAACTATGTCAGTAGGACAGGCATCAGGATGGATTCATTGTCGAGGGGAGATGGGATTGGACTCCCTGATGCCCCATCACAGGGATCCCCTTAAGGAGAGGATCATGGAGAAATGGCACCAAGATCCACCTATTCTGAGAGAAGCAAGCTTGCCAAATCTAGGGCAGTAGATATCCAGGGATATTGTTACCATCCTCTGCTATACTGACCTCAACCACCTACTACCCAGGGCTTTAGATAAGTGGACCAGGAGGGGAGCAGAACCAGCTACCCAATGAGGAACCAAGCCCTATGCTTCTACCATTACCATTCAAGCAAGAAAAAAAATAAAAGCTGTGACCTATTGTTTAAAATCCATCCAAGTCAATGTTTCTAGACAGCAATATATTAACATAAAATTGGACTTCCTATAGAGAGCCCTACATGGTGACTTATGGGGCTTTGGGGAAAGGTCCATAGAACTTTCTGTACCTTTTTGTAACCTTAGGCCAGAAAAACTAAAGCTTTCAAGTTTTAGTACAAAAAGTAGTTTATTTTGTTTACCATCTCTATTTTCTTCCACAAATATATTGATAAGAAATAATATACAGATCAATGTAATACCTTCATTCTCAGGTCTTTGTTCTTACCTGATAAATTGCCAAAAGTGTGATCAAAATCAGGGCCAGATGTCATGGGAAAGGTGGAGCCATTAATTCTTATCCATTCATCATCATCATTCAAATCTTGAATCCAATAACAAAAGCCATCTTCAAAAGTACAGTTGATTTTTTGAATGCCTTGGAGTAAAATTTGAACAATGATAATGCCACAGACTGAAAACAGTAACACTCTACTGTATCGCTATTGATTATAATCCATTCTACAATGCAAACCAAAGTGACTTTACAGAGTGTAGTCTCCTGACCTTGAAAAGATACTAGCTAGAAGTACATTTCTAGGAGTCATAGAAATGGCATGATTCTCTGCATATAAAATGCAATGCACAAACCCTTATTTTCTGTAGTAGTTTTGCTGTTATGTGCTGTCAAGTCATCTCATACAAATGGTGACCCTCTGTATGAAAGCACTCCTAAATGCCTTAACCATGACAGTCTTGTTCAGTTCCTGTAAATTCAAAGTGGTGGCTTCCTTTATGGAGTCAATCCGTTTCATATTTATTTACTCATTTGTTTGTTAGATTTTTTTATCCTGTCTCATGGCCAAAAAGGGCTCTCTGGGTGGGTTGCAAATACAATAGGATAATAAAACAATATACATCATCAAACATTATATAAGTTAACCAATAAAATCACAAATCAGACATAAAAAACCAAAAGAGTAAATCCCCACAAAAGCTACCAAGGGCTGAGGGACCATGTGAACTGGCCCAATGTGCGCTGACAAGAACACAGTTAGTTATTTTTGAACCAAAGGACTGTCCAGTTACAGAAAATGATACACAACCAAGGCAAGGAAAGCAGATTTCCATTTTGCAAGGAAAAATACAAACACTAATACCAATACTAATACTCTAATGATTATTTCAATTCTGAGTGATCATTCTTAGGTAGAACAGCAATATCCACAAACAAGAAGGCATCAGAAGGCATGTATTGCTGAAATACCGCAAATGAAAATATCCCCTTTAGAAAAAGAGATGTGTTCCCAAAGCAGTTCGATGGGACTTAACATGCTTACTGGCATATAACAGTGAATGCGGTTGGCAGGGAAGCAGAAACCTTGTGGGAGGGGGATTGGATGGAATATCTTAAGCGAGGGCTGAGATTCAGCAACTGGCTATGAGCAGGAGCACCCCACCCTGCAGCACTTTGCTCTAGCTTCCATTTGTCTTTAATATATTGCCTGGATTAAAGGAACTACTCATATTATCCAATTTCCACCAGCCTCAACTACTCTTAATATAGTAACACTACCCAGATGCAACTGAACATCCTGATTCCTAAAATACTCATCTTAGAGATTTATTATAAATTGTAGTTATTTATCAATTAGTGCTTTACTTTCTAATATATATGCCACTGTTAATACTGGGAAAACTTAAGTCTTTGACCTGTTCCAAATCCATTTTCTTGTAAATTCCACTGAAATGAAAGGTATCCATTTCACCACAGGCCACCATGGTTGATTGAAGCCATAGTGGGCTGTGGTGGAGGTTGCCATGGTACATCATGCCATATGAACCCATACAGTAGGTTGGGTTGGTTGAGGGTTATTTACCCCGTAGCTACTGGGGACCTACTGGGGTGATTCAAAATGGCCACCAGCACTGCCTGTACCAACTGTGACTTGAATAAGCCACAATGAACTGTATGGTCATGCAAACTAGCCACATATGTTTATGACAGGGATGAGTTCCCTTAGATCAAAAGCAAACCATTTGAAAAACAGATTCTATTGAAATAGATAGCAAACCAAGCATGCATTTCACATGCATTTATCTCTACCAAACTAATGCCATGATTTTGGTATTGTAGCAGTGGTCACTAAGGTATTTATTGTGGTATTTAAACAGAAGCTAGAAAGAGTACTTACTACTTAGCTCATTTGAATTAAATGCAGTGTATGTTGCGTTAAATCCATTATAATTTCCAGCATAGTCTGTAGCAAATTCTACAGTGGCTTTATTAGAAAAAATATAAATTGTTCCAGGATTAGAACCCCAGAGGGAAGCTAAGAAGAAAAATACATAAAAGATGTCAGAAGTGGATAACACTTACATATGTTCAAATAATCAGGAATTAACAGGCGTTTACTTTGTAAAACAGGAACAAAAACAAAAACAAAGAACCCCTTAGACAAATGCCTCTTCTTTCTTCTAGTATTATCTGTTTAGAGTTATTTTACATGTAATGAATGAAATGGAATTTTCCTAATGTTACAGGCTGCTTACACTCAAAGGAGATCAATGTTATTTAAGCAGCAA